GTCCTTGACCCTGAGAGTGTGTACGGGCGTTGCCAAATGCCCAATGAACTGTGGCGTTACCTGGAAAAAAACATAAGCCTTCTATGATAGTTTTAGAACATTCCTGCTGTATAGTACCATCATTCTAGTATGATTATCAAATAAAAAACTCGCAAGTTGACCTTCATATCTAATTTCTACTCCTCCTAATTCCCAAGTATGTGAGTGAGAAGAATTTTACGGGAAACAAAAGGCAGTTAGTAGGTACTGTGGTATTTTCCAGTCTGACTCTCACTTATTCAATCAATTCCATCCCTTGTCCTGGAGTTGGATTTTGGAAAAGCTATTAACTGTCATAAACTAAAGTAACATTTTCAAAATTGGGTCAGCACAGTCCAACTTTTCCCACTGATTATAGTGTGATCTCGTAGCTATTTTCTTACATATGAAGATGATTAAAAAGTAGGACAAAGGTTTCACTCTTGCTGGCACTGAAAAATGTAGGCTAAAGTTCACTCGGCGGCAGCTTAGCTGTTGGCGTGTGGTGAGGCTGGATTCCAGAAGCAAAGTGACCCTGTACTTCGGCTTGATTACATTGACTGTGGTTAGGAAGTTTTTCTTTATGTTTGTGCATTTAGTGTTCTTTCTCTTTGCTTTTGTCTCTGTTGATTTAGGAGGTTTTGTGTAACTATGTGGAAGCGTGTTTACCCCGAAGAGAGGTTAGTTGGCAAGATTTAAATGGCCCAAAGAAGGCTAATGAACACCAACTTACTTATTTATTATTTAATTTTTTTTTTTTTTTTTTTTAGTTTTGTTTTAGAGACAAGATCTTACTCGGTAGATCTGGCTGGCCTGGAACTCCTAGTCCTCTTAGGCTGCTCCAACACCATCCACCTCTAAAGTGGTGGAGGGCTGGTGAAGGGCGTGCCTCACCAAGCTTAGTGCTGAGGATTATTGAACCCAGGGACACTTGCTAGAGAAGTACCACTGAGTTACTTCTAGTTCCCAAGGCCATCTTAACTGACACTAGATATTTCAAAAGTTTTTGAGGAAGGCTAACTGTGTTCTGGTTGGCTATGATCAACTCTGTCTAGCTTAGTATGTAATTCCCATCCTCCTGCCTTAGAGTGTAGGAAGTCCACTTGTCTTGCTGCTAAGGGTTTTTCTGTTCAGAGTTCCTAGTAAATTTTACTTCGGGCAATCTTAGACCCGACTTTCGTCAGTCTCACGATCCCTCCCACCTGTAGCAATGGGTTCTCATACTCCAGGACTAGGTTTTTCTGTAGCAATGATTATGATTGGATCTTTGGAGTACAAGCACACAGGAGAGGCCCAGTGGAGGGTCCTTCAATCAGACTCTAGGTAGAAGACACGGGATATAAGGGGAATTTTGAACAAACACTAAATTTGTTTGAGACATTGATCTATAGCCTCTCCATTATAAAGGCTTGATCCTACTCTATTGCAAGCAAGCTCTAGATGACAAGCAGATTGTTCAAGAGTAGCTCAGAGGCAACATCCCCCAAATACAGCTTATGTGCTTCTTCAAAATACCCTTCCTTTTCTTCTTCATCATGGTTCAAACCATCTCTTCTACACGCCTCTTTAATCTTTCACTCCTTTCTCCACATATCCCAGACTTGCTCAACTATCCTAGGAAAGCTATCTCTTTCTTTAGTTCAGAAAATGAAAGTAAATCATCATTTACTCGACTAGGTGTTACACACTCAGGCACCAGCACTCAGCAAAGGCAGATGCCTTGAAACAGTGGTTCTGCACCTGGGGGTCAAGACCCCTCTGGGAGTCACATATCAGATATCTAGCATATTAGAATTTTAAATTATGACTCATAATAGTAGCAAAATAGTTATGAAGTAGCAACAAAAATAATTTTATGGTTGGGAGTCACTACAACATGAGGAACTGTATTAAAGGGTCACAGCATTAGGGAGCTTGAGAACCATCCCCTTAAAGTAATATCAACTATTAGTTCTTTCTTTCTTTTTTTCGAGACATGGTGTCTCTGTGTAACAGCCCAAGTTGTCCTGGAACTAGCTGTGCAGGTCATGCTGGCCTCGAACTCACAGAGATCTGCCTGCCTCTGCCTCCTGAGTGTTGGGACTAAAGATGTGTGTCGTCACTGTCTGGCTAGTTACTTATTTCTATTTATTTATTTATTTATTCATTTATTTATTATGTATACAATATTCTGTCTGTGTGTCTGTCTGCAGGCCAGAAGAGGGCATCAGATCTCATTTCAGATGGTTGTGAGCCACCATGTGGTTGCTGGAAATTGAACTCAGGACCTTTGGAAGAGCAGGCAATGCTCTTAACCACTGAGCCATCTCTCCAGCCCCCTAGTAACTTATTTCTTAATATTAGCTCTGATCTTCAACAAAACGTACATGACTCTAAGTTTCCCCCCCAAACTTCACCTTGAGATTTCAACTGTGTGATCCTCCTCCCTGCCTGCATTTTGGTCTTTATTATTATTATTTAGTGTTTTGTTCTCATTGCTGCATTTGCAAATGAACTTATAATTAATCTCTTCCACTATAATTTCAGTCATTAGGCAACCAAAGTTTTCACAGCAACCTGACATGTCATGCAACTTTCTAGGACACTGGGGTATAACAAGTAAAAGTAAAGTCTTGGTGGAGCTTGCATTCTGGGGCAGCAGAGGATATAGTACTGAATCTACTCAGGGACATAAATGAAGGGTTGAAAACAGCTCAGTGGTAAAGTGTTTGCCTAGCATGTACAAGGACCTAGGTTCAAGACCCAGTTCTGAAAAACTAATTGTAAAGTAGAAATTCTAGTGGGAAAGAAGCATGGGCTAGGTACTCTAACTAGGAGAGAGTGAAGCATATTGGGATAAGAATGGACTAACTGGTAGGACAAGTAGGGCGGGGTGAGGTAGAAAGTCAGACAAAAACTAAGGAAAATAAGCAGCTAAGTGTCAGAATGCAAATGCCGAAGCAAATCCAAAACAAACAAAGAAGCCTAACCAGCGGAACCAACAAACCTCCAAAAACACCTACAAAAGCAGCATGGCTGCAACTTCATTTTGAGATGAGGAACTGCTAGGTGTCTCAGCCTAGCTACAACCTGTGATCGCCCATCTCTGGGGAGTACTGGGATGGCAGGTCCTGGTCACCACTCAGGGGCAGTTACTGTCTTAAAAATCAGATATTCGTGCTTTAGAGGTGGATGATGCAAGCTGGATGTGGGAGCAGCCTAAGGGGGCAGAGGTAGGCAGGTCGCTAGGAGTTCCAGGCCAGCCAGATCAGAGTGAGATCTTGTCTCTAAAAGAAAACTAAAGTGCTCAGGCGGACCTGTGAGTTCAAGGCCAGCCAGGACTACTTTATAGTGACACTCTCTCACTAGAATCAGGTGTGCTGGAATGCATTTATAACCTGAGCACTTGGGATCATGAATTCAAGCGTTCAAAGTCATACTAGGCATGTTATGTATAGCAAGTTCCAACCTAGCCTGGGCTACACATTGAAGCCTTATCTCAAAAAAAATTAAAATAATAAGAAGAAGAGAACAACAACAACAACAAACCAGGTTGTCCCTGGCCTCATTATCTTCTAAGTCTCTGTGTCTCCCAAATGCTAGTATTCCAGGTGTGGACCCCATACCTGTTCTGCTGATGACTTTAGTGGCTGTTTTTCCTGTAGGGTTGCAGCTGGTTGCCAAAGATATCCAGTGAGCAAAATGGTAATTAGAACCAAAATGGCTGGGGACATGAGATTTGATCTCTTGTGGTCATGCTGAAGACCCTAAGCAAGTTAGATGATGAGCACCAGCTAATAAGCAACAGAGGACGGTGTCAGAATTTTGTTATCCAAAGATTGGGAATGTTATTGGTGGAATGCAGTATAGAAATTTTTTTTAGTTAGGAATGCTTAAAACAGCAAAGCATGACATGGACTGTTTCCTTTGCAGCAGCCAGTGGTTGCCCCTTGATTTGATGTTTTGTTTTGTTTAAGGTCTCGCTATATAGCCCTGGATGGCCTGGAACTTGCTGTGTAGACCAGGCTGGCATCAAATCCAGAGATCCTCCTGCCTCTGCCTCCTGAGTGCTGGGGTTCACTGTATAACGACCACATCCAGTGGTCTTTTATTGGTTTTTCAATATTTATTTTTATTTATGTGTTGGTGTGCATGCGAGTGTATGACGTGTGTGTGAATGGCAGTGGTGACCAAAAGAGGGCATCAGATCCTCTGCAGCTGGAGTCTTTTAGCCAGCATGGGTGCTGGGCAACACACTCGGATCCTTTAGGGAAACAAGAGGCATGCTTTCACTAGTTGGCCTGGAAATCACAGTAATCTACCTGCCTCTGCCTCCCTGGTGCACAGTTATAGTAGTCAGACGTCCTTAATGGGTCTCGGGCCAAGGATAAATAGTTCTGTGGTAGAGTGTTTGCCTAGCATACACTAGGCCTATGTTCAATCCCAAGTGGGAACCATATGGGTGTCATTAGGCTCAGGTAGGTGTTGACAGGGCTTCCATTCTTTCCGAAGGCCCTGAGGAAAAGCCGTGGCCTTACCTTTTCTAGTTTTCAGAGACAACCTGTGGTCTCAGCTTCTGCTCATCTCCTTCCTTTAGCAACCTGGAGCCAGGACATGCTCACATGTCTCTGATTTTCTTTGGGGTTACCCTAAACCCATTTAGATAATTCATGATGCTTTCCTTAGATTAAGGTCAATCTTACTTCCATTTGCATGTTAGCCCTTTGCCATGTAACCCAACACATTCTAGAGATGTGATGTGTCCTTCTTTTTTTTTTTTTTTTTGGTTGGCGGGGCCATCCTCTCCCTACCTTACTTATTATCTGGATAATCATTTGACCTAATAATTAAAATGAGAAAGGTAATGGAGTAGCCACAATAGTGGCCTAGAATACATTGTTCTGATTGGTGTTTTATTGGTGTAAATTCTAGTTTTGCTGACCTGACAGATATTACAGAAATTCTGTTTCACAAAATAATTTTGAAACACTCTTCCCTTGCAGGCTGTATTTGCCGCAGCTTTACAGCATCTTCTGCTTTGCTGAGTAAGTTGACTTTCTTGTTTACATAATGCTGATTTTTATACTTTTCATTTTTTGAAATTAGAATAGAATTTCACCATATCCCCCATTCACTTTCCTCCCTCCAACTTCTCCCACACACCTTTCTTGCTTTCAAATTCATGGCCATTTTTCTTCATTGCTGTATATATGCATATGTGTATATTCACATATATAAATACCTATATAGATATATATATATATCACTAGATATGTATATGTGTATCCCTAAATATATGTGTGTATCCTAATATGTATGTATGTGTATATGTTCCTAAATATATGTGTGTTTCTTGATATATATATATATATATATATGCATATATGTAAAACAACAAAGAAAAAGAGGCCATGAATTTGAGAGAGCAAGGGGAGTATATGGAAGAGTTGGAGGGAGGAAAGTGAATGGGGATGTGTGTGTCCTAAATACAACCTGCTCTGTCCATATAATGGTACTTGTATGTATATATCTTAACATCACTTTGTAGACGTACTTTGTGATAAGCATGTTTAGAAACTAATTTGTCTTCTCTCTTTTAGCCAGAAACCATATTAATTATGGAGTCAAAGGGGATGTGGCGGTTATTCGGATTAACTCACCCAATTCTAAGGTACCCAAACTTTTTTTAGTTAATTTCTACCAACTACATTTATGAATCCTATCCTAAGTAGAAATGAAATCTGCCTGTTTGGAAGTGGGCCTGTCACATGATTTTAAGGTTTTCTTAGTTATAGGCAGATGTTCCTGTATGAGAATTCCTTCTTGAGGCCAGGGGTGGTGGTGCACACCTTTAATCCCAGCAGTGGGAAACAAAGGCAGGCAGATCTCTCTGAAGCCTCAGCCAGCCTGATCTACATAGTGAGTTTCAGGTCAGGTAGACCACAGTGAGATTCTGTCTCAAAAAAAAAAGAAAAAGAAAAAAATGTCCTTCTTGGTGGTGTTCACCTTTAACACCAACACTGTAGAAGAAGAGGCAGGTGGGTCTCTGTGATTTCTAGACCAGCCAGGCCTACTTAGTGAGACCCCATTTCAAAGACAGACAACACACAAAGAACTCCTTCTTATTGACTCTAGGTGTCAGATTAATATCAAAGATTAATAAAACTAGCCTGTTATTGTATAGGATAAGTATGATAGAATATGCTTGTTGATAAGACTTAATCCACCTATTTTAAACATGAGGTGATTAAATCTACCTTCAGTACCTTCCTGTTGTAGTATTACTCATAGTAGGTTGGCGGGGATACATGTAGACATTTGGCTCTTGAGCTTCCTACAGGTTCTGAATGACTCATGCAGGCCACATGCTAGAAACAGGTTATGTGAAAATGGAACCTGGAGCTGAGTGGTGGTGGCACACACCTTTAATCCCAGCACTTGGGAGGCAGAAGCAGGTGGATCTTTGTGAGTTCGAGGCCAGTCTGGTCTACAAGAGCTAGTTCCAGAACAGGCTCTAAAGCTACAGAGAAACCCTGTCTCGGGGGAAAAAAATAAAGGAAAATGGAACCTGGATCTTGGCAAATTCAACAGTGTAGACAACAGAACCCTAGTTTTGCCAAGAATATTCTATTGCAGGGGTTCATTCTTTCCCCCATCTCAAATTGGTATAAAGGTCTCTTACTATTTTTTTTTTTAAATAAAATCTTGCAGCCAGAGCTCTATATGACATAGATGAGATTGAGCCAAGCATGGGGACTGACTCACAGCACCTGAGAGGCACAAATAGGAAGAATTCTAGGTCATCCTCAGCTACAGAGTACAAGGCTAGCCTGGGCTATATAGAACCGTGTAAGAAACAGGAGGACCTACGTGAAGCAGTTGGCAACTCTCACCCATTAGCAGTTATAGGAGCCAGGCTTTCACTTGTGCTGGTCCAATATGGAATAACTTAGGATTCAAACTTAAGATTTTTCCCCTTAATTTTCTGAAGTTGAATATATTTATAAAATGAAGACCATACTGTGTCTAATTTTGCTTCTTTTTTTATGTTGTATAGATTCCCTTCTCCCCCTGGGCCAATAAATATTTGTAGATTTATTTAATTGTACCTGCATCTGATCCAGACTGCTAGGAGTATGACCTTATGATCACTTTTTTAGTTTAGTTTTTTTCAGACAAGGTCTCACTGGATAGGCTGGATAGCCTGGAACCTTCTGTGTCCTAGGTCAGCCTCAGACTTGTGGCAGAATTTAGAAGGAAGCATCCCTATGCCCAGCCAGCAGAGTCCCCTTTTTTCTGTATTGTGTGTACATGACGTCCTTGAGGGTGAGAGTGAAATTGAGTCTCTCCTCCACCTTTACCTGGGATATAAGGATCAAACTCGGATGGTTGGGCTTGCATGGCAAGCACGTTTACCCACTGGGCATCTCTCCAGCTCTTGAGACCTGTTTTTAAAGGGAAGGGTACTAGTTGGGTTTCAGAGGGGTTTTGGTCTGTCTGTGTTTTGGTTTTGGTTTCTTCATTTTCTTCTTACAATATGTCTGCTGCATGAACATATTTGACAGTGGTAGTATGTCTGTTTTACTTCTAGTTTAAACCCTTAGATGTAGCTGTTTCTCTTGTAGGTAAATACATTGAATAAAGAAGTACAAGCAGAGTTTGCAGAAGTTATGAATGAAATCTGGGCCAATGACCAAATCAGAAGTGCTGTCCTTATTTCATCAAAGCCCGGCTGCTTTGTCGCAGGTGCTGATATCAAGTAAGTTTATCTTGATTAATTACATATTTCTATCTTTAAAAGAAGATAGAAGTAAATTCTCCAAAAGTTTGTTTTTTGAAGTTATTTTCCTGAGTTTAATAAAGCTGATGAAATAAAGGAACTTGTTGCTTAAATCATAGATGACTAAATACAGCCTTTCTTTCTTGCTAGCCAAGAACAAATGCCCAGTTTTCTTCCATCATACCAGAAAACATTTAAAAATTTGGTGGAAATCTCAATTCGTATAACCACTTTGGAGCACAGTTTGTCAGTACTTAGTAAAATGAAAAATACAAGGGCTAGACTGGTGGGTAAAATACCTGCCGCTAGGCCAATAACCTGAGTTTGATTCACCCACATAAAAGCTGGGCATGGTGAGTTTGATGAATCGCCTTGTCTCAAAAAATAAGAAGTGAAAAAGCCACCTGAAGTTGGCCTCCACATGTGCCTGTACAGTTGAGCAAACATGCAGATACACACACACAAGGAGTGGGAGGCAACAAGTATGTTCCAGCCGCATACTCTCATCTAGGTGTATATACTAAAGAAATCTTAGTCTCTATTCATAAGAATCTGTGTGGAAGAATAGTCATTCCTGTGTGTAGGTAGACATAATGAAGCCTTTGAAACCAGCTACATGTCACTAGGGAAACAGATAGTAAAGACTACAAAACAGCTGAAAGAGATTAACTAGATCCAGAACATCACCCTAGAATTGTCTGATCTGTTAGCCAAAATATTTACCAGGTGATATTAGAGCTTTGTGATCAGTGGTTTGTTAAGGAAGCAAAATAAATTGTGTAACATGTTCCATTTTATGAACTCATTGCCAAATATTGATGTATGCTGAGATAAGCATGTAGTGGGTGAAGTGTTATACAAAGTAGGATCCAGTTTCATCTCTCCTTTTGTGTTCTTTTATGTGGCTGCTACAGCATGCTAGCCTCTTGTACAACTCCGCAAGAAGCAACACGAATATCACAGGAAGGACAGAGAATGTTTGAGAAACTTGAAAAGTCCTCAAAGCCCGTTGTAGCCGCCATCAGTGGATCCTGCTTGGGAGGAGGACTTGAGGTATGGATGAATCCCAGAGCTGTATAGATGCTGTCCCACTCACTGGTAGGATGTGCTGCTGTGACCCTTGGGCTATTGTTTCTCCTGCAGGAAAGTCTTCCGAGTAGGATTGGCTTGATTTTAGCTATCAAACATCTGCATGGGGTTAACTCTTAATTTATGACAAGCAGCAAGTGACACAGAGCACGTGAGCCAAGGAATGCTGTTTCCATTGACAGCTGTGATTTAAACTGCACCATGAAGTCTTTCTCATGGCTGCATACCTGGCTCAGACTCAGGGCAAAGATCAGAAGTGGGATCTGTGTTCGTGTTCTTAAGTCTGGTTGACCTTCAAAGCATAATAATATATTTAAGTCTCGTGAGAGAGAGTTTCTTGTGAATAGTAAAGATGATAAGATTAAAGAGAAGAGATTCTTTTTTGTTTTGTTTTTTTGAGACAGGATCTCACTGTGTAGGCCTGCCTCTGCCTCCAGAGTGCTGGGATCAAAGGTTACCTTCAGGAGAGTTTTAAGGAGAAGAGCGACCTGAAAGGGTTGATAAATCATGACAATGGTAGAAGAGGTAAATGGTAGAGTGCCGGATGTCAGCCTAACAAATCATGGTTTATTTTGTGGGACATTCCTGCTTTATAAATAACATTTAGACCTGCCAACCTAGGTGCTAAATCGTTACAGTTATATTTTCTAACTTCTAATTTTTCTTTCATTTCTCTGAAGCTCGCCTTAGCATGCCAATACAGAGTAGCAACAAAGGACAAAAAAACAGTATTGGGCGTCCCTGAAGTGTTACTGGGACTCTTACCAGGAGCTGGAGGTACCCAGAGACTGCCCAAAATGGTGAGTTTAAGAACACCCAACGCCGTGAACTTGAGCTATACATAAATACCCTTTGGATCTACTCCATCTTCTACAAAGTACTCACTGTAAATTCAGAAGCCAAGTAAGTTAGGAGTACAGAGGATTGTTGAGAGATTTTTTTTCTTCATTCCTGATAGTTTTTCAGTTCTACAGAATTGTTAGTAAAGGATAAAAGTGATAAGCCTTGCTTTTCCAAAACATTAATTTGTTCCTCCTCTCACGGTATCGCCTTAATAGTTTTTCAAAGCCATGGGTTGTAGGTCATAATAAGTATGAGACAGCTTTCTCATGATTCTCTGATTTAGACCATGTCCTTGCTATAGTCAGAGGACCAAAAAAGATCAGTAAGCTTCTGAATTTCTAGGAAAGGAGAAGGAGAGTCATCCCTGGAGGCTGCGGAGGGATTTCCTATCAAAGCAGATGGCAGAGCCTCGCAGCGCCCAGCACTGTAGACTTCTCAGTGAGAAGGGCACAGTGGAGCAGCTGAGCCTAGAAGCCCACACAAGTGCAAATGGGGAAAGGAAGGTTTTGTTTCATTTGGTTGGTTTTGATTTTGATCAAAAGCTTCATCCTGTAGCCTAGACTGGCCTCAAACTCTTATCTTTCCCCTGCCTCACCCTCCTGAGTCTGAAATAACACATACCAATCTAGTTATCAAAATAAATAATACACATTTCTTTGTAAGAATTGTCTAGAAGATGTCTTGACACAAAAAGTTTTGTTGAATTTCATTTACTTACGTTACTAGGAGTTCTTTCATTTTTGTTTTTATGCTTTTTTTTTGTTATTGTTTTTGGTTGCTTGCTTGTTTGTTTTTTTAAGCCAGGGTCTCTTTATGTAGTCCTGACTTCACTATGTAGACCAGGCTGGCCTAGATCTCAGAGATTCTTTTGCCTCTGCCTCCTGAGTACTAGGATTATAGGTGTAAGCCTCCATACCTAGCTGGTTTTGTTTTGTTTGTTGTTGTTGTTTTGTTCTGAATCAGAGTCTTCTCTACAACTCAGACACACCTTGAGTCTACCATTCTCCTGCCTCAGCTTTCCAAGATATGGAACAAACCATACACTTGGCTAGAGATCAGTTTTCTACAATACTGTATCAGTTGAGCTGCATTGTTAATTCTCAGCATTATTTTTCTGAAAATTGAACCCATGGTCTTATGCATGCCGAGCAAAGAGTACCACTGAGCTACAACCTCAGCCCTAGTTTTAAATACTGTATAAATGATGGAAAACAAATTGAGAATGACAGTCTACAATTTTAGTTCATATAAAATGAATTCTCCACCTCTCCAGTTCCTTATGCTATTGAATTTAAAATATATTATAAAAGCATTTTTTTCTTCAACTGGACATAATCTCAAAACTTAAAAGTGTGTAAGTATATAAAATTTAATTTACTGATAAAAGAACATAAAGCTGTGGTCTACAGAGTTAGTTCTAGGACATCCAGGGCTACACAAAGAAACCCTGTCTTCAAAACAAAACTGGTTTGACTTTTCTCCTTATTTTAGAAAAAATGATTATGTTTATTATTATATTGCATGTTCATGCTCACGTGTGCAAGGGTGCACACATGGAGGTCAGAGGACATGTTTCAGGAATCAGTTCTCTCTTGCCAAGAGAGTTCCAGGAATTAAACTCAGGGTGTCAGCCTTGACAGCAAGCATCTTTACCCACTGAGCCCCTCCCAGCCCCACGTTTCTTCAAAAGTTTGCTCACTTATGATTTGTAAACTAACTTTCACCCTCATTTTCCCCCTGTGCCCTGGCTCTCACTTGCGTGTTAGGTGGGTGTTCCTGCTGCGTTTGACATGATGCTGACTGGTAGAAACATTCGTGCAGACAGAGCAAAGAAAATGGGATTGGTTGACCAGTTGGTGGAACCCCTGGGTAAGTGTTAGAATGACTCAGAATTGGGTCTTATAGAGTTGTTTATTTCCTGAAGGATTTGATCACTTGAATATTGGTTAGGATGAAACTCAAAACTCTTAAGAAGTAACGGTATTTTAGGAGTGACATTTTCTGAGAGCTAATACTAAATCATTTTTTCTTTTGGTTTTTCGAGACAGGGTTTCTCTGTAGCTTTGGAGTATGTCCTGGAACTAGCTCTTGTAGCCCAGGCTGGCCTCAGACTTACAGAGATCCGCCTACCTCTGCCTCCCAAGTGCTGGGATTAAAGGCATATGCCACCACTGCCCGGCTAATACTAAATCATTTTAACCACCACCCTGGTTTCTATTTATTTTTTGATTATATGGATATCAGGAATATAGGAATCAGTTCAATCATTAGTGTTTAATTATTAATTAGCTGTTATTACTGTCCATGTGTAAGCCTCCCTTAGTCCCTGGTGGGAGGATCTTTGCTTTATTTATTGTTTTTATTTTTGTTTGGGGCATGTGGGATCAAACCAGGGTCTTCTGCACGCTGGGCCAGTACTCTATCACTGAGCTACATCCCCACCCTGTGTTTTAATAATAATAATAAGCACAGGAAAGAGCCAACCTCAGAATGTTAATATATGGTATCTACTTATGTGCTACTTTCATGCAATTTCTGCTAGCAGTAGAAACCTCTAAAATGTACATTCATCTCCTGGTATGTCTTAAATATCATTATTAAGCTATTACTTAAGGCTCAGTGTGGTGGTTTATGCTTGTAATCCAGCATTTAAAGATTGAAACAAATGAATCATGAGTTTCAGCCACCTTAGGCCACATAGTGTAGAAAGTTCTAAGCCAGAGCTGCATAGTGAGACCATACGTCAAGAAAATAAACAGGAGCTATTGAGATGCCCAGGGACCTGAGTTTAATTTCTAGGATCCACATGGCTAGAATAATTTTCTTAACAAACGGTGCAGAACTTTGGGTACTGGTAGCAAAAGAAAAAAGGCACTGCATGTAAATTCTAACTTAAAGTGAACCATAGACCAATGTCCAAGAGACAAAACCAGAACACTTTCAGAAGAGAGCAAAGGAGGAAATCTTTGTACTTTTTAAATCAGAAAGGTGTTAGATACCAAGCCAGTAGCATGATCCACAAAAATCTCCAAAATACCAAAATAATAAAAATCTCTAGGGGCAGAGAGAGATGGCCTAGCTGGTAAAGACATTTGCCACACAAATCTGGTGACCTGAATTTGACCTTGGAAACAATATAAAGTTTTGAAGGAAAGAACGAACTCCACAAAATTATCCTTTGACCATCACATGGGAGCCATGGCATGTGAGCACATGATACATGTATACAAACACACACACACACAGACAAACTAATGGTGATATTGAGCTAGCCTTTGCCCCTGAAGTAAACTCCACTTAAAGATAATACATTATCCTTTTTACAAATTACTGGCTTGATCACCTAAAAAAATTTGTTTAAAGATTTGTTTATTTATTTATTGTGTATACAGCATCCTGCCTCCATGTTCAGAAGAGGGCACCAAATCTCATTACAGATGGTTGTGAGTGACCATGTGGTTGCTGGGAATTAAACTCAGGACCTCTGGAAGAGCAGTCAGTGCTCTTAACCTCTGAGCCATCTCTTCAGTCCTAATCACCTAAAATTTTATAAGTGATTTTTTTGCCTGGCAAAGAAAGTTAATGGTGTCGTGGCTAATTATGTTTCCTTACAGTATTTGCATGATGTTAGTATCGGGGTAATGCTGGCCTCATAAAATTAGTTGTGGAATATCTCTTTCTCTTGTTTTCTGGAAATTTTTGTATAGAATTGATATTTCTTCTTACTTAAATGCCTAACATACTTAACCATAAAGCCATATATGGGGTTGGTGGATTGTTATTTTTTCTTTTGTTTTGGTTTTTGTTCTGACTAAGATAGTTTTAGGGTTTGTTTCGGGTTTCTTTGTTGTTTGTTTAATTTTTTATTATTTTAGACTTACTTATTTTCTTATGAATGTTTTGCTTGCGTGTATTTCTGTGCACGTGTGACTGGTACCCGCAGGGGTCAGAAGAGAGCAACTGGACTATAATTGTAAACCACTGTGTGGGTGCTCGGACTCAAACCCCGTTCCTCTGCAAGAACAGCGAGTGCTCTCAACCGCTGAGCCAGCACTCTAGCCCCTTGTTTTTGTTTTTTGAGGTTTTGTGTATGTGTGTGTGTCTGCCTGTCTGTCTGTCTGTCTATGTATGAGTATCCTATCGTGTGTGTTCAGGTACCTCTGGGGGCCAGAAGAGGGCATTGGCTCCCATGAAGCCAGAGTTACACGTGGTTGTGAGGGGTCACCTGACTGCTGAGGAAGCCTTGAACAAGCAGACTTTGTGGAGCCTGGCAGAGGAAATGGCATGGAAGTAGGGGAAAGTCTTTAAGATTCTTTTTCTCTTAGTACAGCTAATGTCCTAAGGCCAAGAGACCTAGGATGGAAAGTATACGGGCTAGGAATGGACATATGAGTGAGACCATTGCCATCCCAGGAGACCTGTCCTTATCTGTACCTCCCTCGAGGACTGTGGTGCACTGGCCACACTCCAAGTGTGGCATAAGGAAGGCAGTGTTTCCCATGCCATCTTCCCAGTGTCACATTCTTACCCTCAGGGAGAACCTCAGCTGGTCATAGTTCTTCACCTAGTAGGATGGCCTTTGTTCCTAAAAGGTGTAGGCCACCAGCCGTCCTGTGCTGGTGTTCTTTTTGTGCTTCTGGAGTGGTCTTTCGTGGATGTGCTGCACAGTGCTGGCCAAAGCTGGCCCCCTGGGTAGACCTGTTGTTACTGCATGCTCAGCAGCATTCTGCGTACAGTCTGGTGACCGTGGCCACCCTGTCAGATTATGATGCTATTGACTTTTCTGGATTCTCTGAGTCTTGGCCATGCGCCACACCGCCTAGCTAGAGTCTACCTCTGAGGGGAGGGTGATGGGGAGCACGCGTCAAATGATCCCAAGATAACTTCGAATAGAGTATTTTAAGGTTTTTCTTTATTAAAAGAGAACTCACAGATCACAGTGAGGAAATAGGAATGGGGTCCAACATCCAGGTGTGGCTCATGAGAAGAAGAAAGCAAGTGGGGCGGATTGCAGATTTTTGGTACCCTAAGTCACGCCTCAAACTACTCCAGCCTCTTAAAGCCATTGGCTGAAGGAGGTTCCCCATCATCTCCCCTTTTTGTCTAAATAAGAGAGTTCCAAACCCAATACAAAACTATATATGCTAAAAACAGATATCAAGTATAAAAATTAGAATTACAAACCAGCATAAACAATATTAAGCAAGGAGCATATGCTAATTGTTTTAATAATCATTCTAGACTAAGGAGTCTAATGGTTTGGCTAGATCATAAGAGGAAGGTAACTATGACTATCTAGTCTTTAACCCCATCGAAGGCCTGAGAGGGAGATAATATTACTTGAGTAGGCGGGAAGTATAACTAAGCAGCTTTCAAAATGTGTAGTAGATAACAGAGACAACTGGCTACCTGAGCAATCACCCAAAGTCTCATTTGTAATTTGAAGCAACCAACTTTGGCTAAGGCCTAGAGTAACTGATAGACCATTTTTAGAGGCAGGAAAATTTTTTAAAACTGTCTTACCCAGTCTTGGCAAAGTTTGGCAGTCTTTTTTTTTTTTTTTTTTTTTTTTTTTTTGCTTGTCCAGTCTAGACACCATGCACTTTGTCAGTGGTTGAGGCATGGGCAGTGCCTTGCCCAAAGACCAATTATGCCAAGAAAAAAACAAGCTCCAAGTGGAGTTTCTTTGGTGCGCAACATTTTCTTGGGAATATATCAGTGCTGTCAGGAGCAATTGTGTCTCATGTCAACAGAACCCTAAGTTATTTAAATGCCATGTTTTACAGATTTTTGAAGTGGTTGAAGATTACCTATCTATGTAGAATACAATCTCTATGTATTTAAAAACCTAATTAGCCTGACTGTAAGTATGACAAACATGAATGACTATTGACCTATAATACTTAATACCTATATAACTAAGACTTTATATCAGTGATATTAAACAATCTTTAAACAATTGTACAGTGAATAAGGACAATGACCTCAAAATGTAAACAATGTGTAAGTATCTTGATCAGAGGTAAAAATATGCAATATGATAAATATATCCTAAAATTGTATCAGTATACAAAATGTCTTAAACAGAGATAGAAACATGCATGCATACAATCTGACAAAATAACTTTGCACAGATGTACAAATATTGCAAACAGAAATAGGGGTATATTTAATATAACAAATATAATTCGAATTTGTATCAAAATACAAGAATCTATACCAGTAAACTGTCCATAAATAATAGCTCACAAGTATTTACTCTGTTATTCACTATTATTATTGGTGTGAACAAGCTCACACTAATCTAATCTATTCCCCATCAGGAAGGAATAGCTGAGTCACAAGGCAATAAGCTTTGTGAGCAATCTATCACTTTATCTCTAAAGCTAAAACACAAGAGAGTAATTTGATTTGGGGGGCTGGAGAGATGGCTCAGTGGGTTAAGAGCACTTGACTGCTCTTTCAGAGGTCCTGAGATCAACTCCCAGTAACCACATGGTAGCTCACAATCACCCGTAATGGGGTCAGATTCCTTTTTCTGGTGTATATGAAGACAGAGCACTCATGTACATAAAATACATGAATAAATAAGTCTTTAAAAAAAAAGAAGAAGAGATTTGAAAAGCCAGATATGTTGGTTTGTTCCTGTAATCCCAGTGCCTACAAGGTTGAGACAGGAAGATTACCATGAGCTTTAGGCCAGTCGAGGCTACATAGTAAGATTTTGGAGCAGGCAAGGGGGATGAGGGTGGAGAGAAACCTCTGATTTATTCTTAACTGCAGGTTTGGAAAGTGTCATCCTCCTGCCTTCGCCTCTCTAGTGCCCCCTGCCCTAACTCCAATTATTTTTAAATTGTTACACGCTGTTCAGGAAAAGGATGACAAAACCAAGCTAACGTGCTTACAACTCTTGTCAAGGCACCTCCCCAATCTAGTTACCAACCCTGAAACTCCAGTTAAAGCTGCTTCCAGGCTCCTCGCTGTCCCTAAAGCTGATAGTCACGTTCCGACATCTTCCCTGCATCTGGCTACTGCCCACTCCTGCTCCCTTCCTCAGCAACTTACAGTTATGCCTGCTCTTGTGAGTCTTTCCTTACACACACACACACACACACACACACACACACACACACACACCTGCCCCACTGTTCTCTCTCAGGGTAGGATGCATGCCTTGTTTGCCCTTCTTATCTGTGGGAAAGCCACCTCTGGCTGTTTCTAAGACCTTGCACAGTGTCTGGTATGCAAGAGGCCCTTAGTGAGCTTTCATTGAGATAAGATGGATCACAAGAGAATAAAGATACACACATCGCTGACATCAGCAGTGCTAAGGCAATATTCATGCTCATTCATTCACTTTGGAATGACATATTAGGAAATAACCCAAGAGTGGGGAAAAACTTGTTGCAAAAGTAAAAGGGACTCCGTGACATTGTGAAATGTCTATCTGATATACGCTAATGGGAAACTGCTAGCTGAGGAACCCCAGATAGCATCAGGATAAGGGTTGGCCACCAGCAGGATGGAGACATGGAGAGAGGTGGGGCTTTTTGCTTCTACCATCAACCTCCGGGGAGGGGAGGCAGTACAGGCTCATCACTGATGGCCGGTGATTCAATCAATCATGTCTACCAGTGAAACTTCCTTTAAAACTCCAAAGGGCTGGGTTTGGGAAGCTTCTAGATTGCTATACATGTGGAGGTCCTGCCGTTGGTATACTAGAAGAGAAGGGGGAGCTGTGAATGCCTTCCCACATCTCATGTCTCCTGTGTCTCTTCATTGTACAGACCACTAACATGGATAAAAGGAAATCAAGTGTATCTCTGAGTCGTATGGACATCTCCAGCAAATTAATTGAATCCAAGGAAGATGTCATGGGAATCTTGGATAACTGGTTAGTCAAAAGCATGAGCAAAACAAACCGGGGCCTGAGATTGGCACTAGGAGTGGGCAGCAGCCTCATAGGGTGAACCCCGGGGGTCCAAGTGTATCTTCAGGCAGATAGGGTCAGAAGTGAATGGGTTTAGAAGACAGCCCACCAGTGTCAGCTGCAGAACCTGTTGCAGAAATGAATGCCTGTTGATGTGGGGGAGAACACCCTGCCCATCTGATGTCAGAAGTGTTGATTGCTGGGAGGATAGGAAAAGCCACTCTGCTTTTCCTATAGCATTTAGCGAGTTATATTTATTTATTTATTCATTCATTCATTTTGGGTTTTTTAGAGACAGGGTTTCTCTGTGGCTTTGGAGCCTGTCTGGAACTAGCTCTTGTAGACCAGGCTGGCCTCGAATTCACAGAGATCCGCCTGCCTCTGCCTCCTGAGTACTGGGATTAAAGGTGTGTCCCGCCACCGCCTGGCTGCAAGTCATTTTTATAAGTGTGGAAGACAGAAGCAATCAAATGCCCAGTTAAATGAAAACCCAAACTGTAGTAAAGTAATGTAATAAAGTATACAGTCCCTTTTAAAAGGTAAGTAAATTAGGGTCAAGGACAGGTAATAAACAGTTTGGTGTATGACCTTGGGAACTGTCTGCCTCCAAATTGGGATGATGACAGCAACCCAAAGAGTGGTATATGCAAGTCTAGCGTGAGAAGAATGTCAGCGTGGCTGACAACTGCCCGTTTACTCAGAGTCCACACCTTCCACCCATCAAACTTCTTTCTGCTTGTCTATCATCTATTTTGCGATTCTAAGGCTTCAGCAAAATTGGTACAAACCTGAGTTTGGAGCACCACCTAGTGCTAGAACAACAGACGTGACTACGTGCTCAGATAAAGCATAGAACAAAACCAGGCTCTGGGAAATTTATGTATACTCTGCCCTTATTCTATTATTGTTAACAGTGTGTGTGTGTGTGTGTGTGTGTGTGTGTGTGTTCACATGCCTACCACAACACAGAGTTCTCTCCTTCCACTGAGTGGCTCAGAGGATTGAACTCAGGTCATTAGGCTTGGAATATAATCACCTTTATCAGTTGAGCCATTTTGCTGGCCCCCTTCTTATTACCAATTTCTACTTCTCAATAAATACTCTCTAACCGTGAAAATTATGGCTTGATTGCTTGACTGTAGTCTAGATTGTAAAGTAGTTAAACGGTGATTTGCACTTGAGTGTTGGTAAGAATGGAAGAAAATTGGGATCCATGCAGTTTGAGTAGAAATGTAAAATGGAACCATTTACATCACAAAACATTTATATTCAGTGTGTGTGCGGGGAAATGTTTGCTAACTCCTCAAAAATGTAGGCATAAACCGAGCAGTGGTAGTGCACACCTTTAATTCCAGCACTTGGGAGGCAGCGGCAGGTGGATCTCAAGAGTTTGACACCAGCCTGACCTACAGAGAGAGTTCTGGGACAGCCAGGGCAACACAGAGAAACCCTGTCTCGAACACACACACACACACACACACACACACACACACGTGAGCCTAGAATCTCCATATGACCCCTCTGTCCCACTCCTAGCTATACATGCCAGAGCATGTCACAAATGCTGTGGGAGGTCACAAAGCAACTCTCAGAACCTGGCTCCTTGACATCTGAAGCTCCTGAGACATCCCTCAGAACTCAGGTCCCTCCCATTTCCCCTTGCATCTCCCATCCCAGTGCTGAAGGAGGCTTTGTATCAAGCTTCATTCCTGCCTGAAGTTCAGACCCACCCAGGAAGAAGCAGTCACCACCACCCTTCCTCTGACCTTCCGTTACCTACACTGCATCAGAAGAGAGACTGAAGATTGCCAGCACACCTGGAAAACCCCAGGCCCAGCCTTATCCTCCGGTGCTCTCAGAATCATTCACACGCGGTTGTCCATTCCGCAGAACAAACAGACTTTGTCCCAGGCCCTCATATGTTCCCCAAGTCTTAAAAATCATGTACCGTCCTCCTGACATGCCCTACCTCTCTGTTCCCTATAAAAAGATGGGTATGTAAACTCGTGGGTGCTTTGACTCAGGAGCTAAAACACACACCTGGAATAGTTCTCATTTAGCCAATCCTTGCAGATTATAAATCTGTTTGATGTATGTAAGTGCTCTATTTGCATGTATGCCTGCATGACAGAAGAGAGCATCATGTAAGTCTCCATGTTGTTACCAGGAATTGAACTCAGGGCCTCTGAGTAATTTCTCTAGTGCCTGTTTGTTTTGGATATGGAGTCTCTGTACATAGCTCTGGCTGCCCTGGAACTTACAATGTAGACGAGATGGGCTTCTAACTCACAGAGATCCGCCCCACCTGCCTTTGCCTCCCAAGTGCTGTGATAAAAGGGGCACAGCACTGATGGAGGAAGGTCATTGGTTAAAAAATAAAGAAACTGCTTGGCCTCATAGGTTAAAACATAGGTGGGTGGAGTAAACAGAACAGAACGCTGGGAGGAAGAGGAAGTGAGCTCAGACTCGATAGCTCTCCTCTCTGGGGCAGACGCGATGCAGCCAGCCACCAGGTCAGACATGCTGAATCTTTCCCGGTAAGACTGGTGCTACACAGATTACTAAAAATGGGTTAGGCAAAATATGAGAATTAGCCCATAAGAGGCTAGAGCTAGTGGGCCAAGCAGTGTTTAAAAGAATACAATTTGTGTGTTGTTATTTCGGGTAAAGCTAGCCAGTGGCTGGGAGCTGGGTGGCAGGAACGCAGCCTGCAGCTCCCTACAACAATGCTTGGCTTAGATGTATTTTAATGCATTTTATTTTATTTTTATATGTATGTGTGTATGTCTGCTTGTCTGTATGTGCACCATGTGTGTGCAGTGCCATGGGCCAGAAGAGGGCATTGGATCTTCTGGAACTGGAGTTACAGGTGATCATAAACTGTAGCTGCTGGGAGTCTCACTCAATCTTATGCAAGAGCAGCAAGTGCTCTTTACCCTGAGCCTTCTCTCCAGCCCCTTAATACTTTCTCTCTCTGTCTCTGTTTCTCTGTCTCTGTTTCTCTGTCTATCTCTCTCTCTCTCTCTCTCTCTCTCTCTCTCTCTCTCATTTATCAAAATAGGGCTTCTTTGTGTAACAACCCTGACTGTCCTGGATCTCACTCTGTAGACCAGGCTGTCCTCAAACTCACAGAGATCCACCTGCCTCTGCGACCTGAGTGCTGGAATTAAAGGTGTGTGTCATGCTTGGCTTCCCTTAATACTTTCTCTAGTATTAATTTTTCATTTTAATCCTCAGAATGGGAGCATATTCAAGGTGACTTCCTCGATCCTATTCACATCCATATTTAAACTTAATTTGTATGTTTCTTTTTGGGAAAAAAAGAAAATGAAAAACAAACAAACCAAAAAACCACCCTCTTATGTTTGGGCAAAGGGTGGCATACAATTTACATCTCATGTGCTTTGCTTAATATTTTATGAATATTACTCAACTGCAATGTACAGATCTCGTCTTCACTGACAGCTGTGCGTGCACATGTATGATAACTGACCTGACCAATTTCTTATTTGGAGCATCAAATAAGAATATTTTGCCATTGCCAATAACGAAGCAATGATTATGCACATTATTTCAGTGTTTCTTTTGATAAATATGTAGAAATTTAGATCTTGGTCAAAGGTTAAATACAAATATTATTTTGCTCTATGTTGTAAACTTTTCTTCCATTGGTTTTGTACTGTTTGCTTTTCACACTTGAAGTTTGAATTGATGTGGCTCCATACAGCCTCCCCCCCACAGAGTTTTGTCTAGCTTCATTCAATTTCTGTGTAATTTTCTTTTATAATATATTAGTTATTGATTTTGAAGAAGTGGGATGGTACCCAGGGCTTCACACATGCTATGCAAGTGTTCTGCCCCCGAGCCACTCCCCAGCCTGTGTCTCTATGATGTGAGATAGAGGAGCATCTTTCTCTCTCCTCCATCTCCCTCCCCTCTCTACTTGCCCCCTTACCCCTTCTTTCAGTTGTCCTGGACCTCCCCATGACAATCGACTAGCCTCAGATTCATAATGGCCCCTTCCTTCCTGCCTCCAGCATGCTTGGATTGCAGACTTCTGCCACCATGCCCAGCATTTACTTCTTTTTCCACCAGGCTTTGAAATCTCCGTTGACTCCTTTGGCCTTGAGTTCTTTACAAAGCCATTAGTGTTCTATTTCTGATGCATGTTGTAAATATTTTCTCTTGGCTTTAGCCTGCAAGAAGTCTGCTTCAGTTTTTCCGAGGTTGAATGTGTCAATCTCTCCATTGCCATCTGGGGCTTGAAGCACAGAAAGCTCCTCCCACACTCATGTTGGTATGGCACCTCTGCTTCTTGCAGTTCTTAGGAACTTTGTTTATTCTTGTGAAAGCAGCAAGGCATGAACGCATTTATATTTTTCCAGGCAATTACCTAAAATTGTCTTAGTTGCTTTTCTATTGCTGTGGCTAAGCACCAGGACCAAGGCGACTTCTAAAAGAAAGCATTTAATTGGAGGCCTGGTTACAGTTTCAGAGAGGGCATCCATGGCGACCAGAGCAGGGACAATGGTATTTGACTGGGAAGTCGGGCATGGTGCTGGAGCAGTAGCTGAGAGCTTACATCTTTTTATTATTATTATTATTATTATTATTATTATTTTGAGACAGAGTTTCTCTGTGTAGCCCTGGCTGTCCTGGAACTCTCTGTAGACTAGGCTGACCTCGAACTCACAGAGATCCACCTGCCTCTGCTTTCCTGAGTGCTAGGATTAAAGGCTTGCACTAACACCAGCCAGCTGAGAGCTTACATCTTGAGACAACAACCATGAAACAGACAGTGTTAACTGGGAATGGCATGGACTTTTGAAACTGATTCAAAGTCTACCATCAGTGAGATGCCTCCTCCAACAGGGCTCTCGTAATTCTTTCCAAACTGTCCCACTAACTGTGGAACAAGCATTCAAATAACGTGAGCCTATTGGGGCCATTCTCACCCAAACTACCACACCAACTGTCTCAGTTTAATTTTGAAGTATAGCTTGTCTTGAGTGATGAAGGATATTACATGTGCCATATATTCAAGCTCCATGTGCACTGGTCCAATAACAATAGTGAGTTTACATGTACATTTTTTTAATGTTAGAAGCAGTCTGGATTTCCTATTTTTTCCACTGGCCTGCTTCTTGATGCACTGGTTCCATGAACTTAATGATAGAGGATTTATGGCATGTTTAATATTTGGAAGGATTAGTCCTCCGTTCATTAAATATTAAGGGCTTTCCTAAGCTATAAATATGGATTTATTTCTTCATTGGAACTTAAAAGTCAATCATGTAAACTTCAGAATAACTTTGTTAGTGATACTTAATGGGATAAATAGCTAATAATATAACTCAGATTTAATTGGCTTCTTTCCTACAGGCAATGTGATAAATGGCATATAGCATCTGTCTCAGGCTTTCTGTTGCCGCGATAAAACACCATAACCAAAAGTAGCATGGCAAGAGAAGTATTTATTTCCTCCATCACTGAGGGAGGTCAGGGCGACAACTGAAGCAGAAACCATAGAGAACGTGGCTCCCTGGATGGCTCCCCATGGCCCGCTCGGCTTGCTCTCCATCCCCCATCACTCACGCACTAGTGATAAAGGGAATCCCTATAAAAAGTGGACAAAAAGTTTCTTGTATACACTCTTCCAAGGGTGTGTGTGACAATCTCATACCTTAGAAGGACAGAGACCCTGGAGCAGAATTGGACACCACCCCTGCCTTCAGCAAGACTGTAGCTGGTGGATGAGTCCCAGTACTTAGCTCCTCCCACATGTATGGGATCTATGGCTTTATGGATCCCTCAAGGGTCAAATAAAAAACTTGGAGGCAGCTGGGTGGTGGTGGCATACGCCTTTAATCCCAGCACTTGGGAGGCAGAGGCAGGCAGATCTCTGTGAGTTCCTAGGCCAACCTGGTCTACAAGAGCTAGTTGCAGGACAGGCTCCCAAGCTACAGAGAAGAGAAACCTTGTCTTGAAAAACAAAACAAAAAGAATTGTAAAAACAAACAAACAAACAAAAAAACCTTGGAGGCTGGAGAGATGCTGTAGCAGTTAAGAGCAAAGGGACACTTTGGCCCACTAGAGCATGTGACTCTGACAGGCCTTGCCTTTCTCCCCGGTTCCCTCTGTCTTGCTAAACAAAACCATTAGATTACATTCCTAAAGCAAAACCATGAAGGTCCTTTCCTTTATTCGGATACTTTCCTATGCCTGGCTGAGGATGAGTTCCAAAGTCCAGCAATCAAAAGCCCCCTTTGGTTCACCTAATGAACATGCCCAGTCAAGATATCCCACTACATCCTAGCTCACTCTAACACAGACCTCCCCTTTTCCTCCTCAAAACTTACATCTGCAAGGTCAAACAGGTGTTTGGATGTGGTTTGGGCCTAATCTGGGGTCCCAGAGGAAGACCCTACTGTTCAGTATCCTTCAAAGAACACTTGTTTGCTCTTCCAGAGAACCCAGGTTCATTGGCAGCACCCACAGGGCAGATAACAACTGTCAGTAGCTCCAGTTCCAGAGGATGGATGCCCTCTTCTGGCCCCTGAGTTCACTGCATACATGTGGTACACAGAGACACATGCCAGCAAAGTACCCATACATGTTAAAAATACAAGTAAATAAATTAAAAAAATAAAGTAGACTGTTATACCTGAAAATTGTGAGGAGAAAGGCCAAATCCACAATTATCTAATTAAAGCAAAGTTTAATAAATATTGGCCAGAAAGATGGACACTGGCCAGGTCCATAACCAGAATTCCCAGAGAATGGTGCTGAATTAGGTTAATCAGGTGCTCATAAAGGCAAAATGAACAAGGTTACTACGTCCAATCAGGGGAAAGAACACCTCCTGAGCACTTCCTGCAGGTGCAACTCCTGCCGGCCTGGTGATCAAGCACATCCTGAGCAGTTGGGGCGACCAGTTTTGTTTACTGAAGCGAAAAAACAACAGCCCCAGCATTCCAGGAAGTTATCTGTCCTTGGGCAAGTGAAGTTTACAAACATTAACTCTCTCAATAATATGATCAAAACCAAGAAAGATTGTTAAAGGCTCTTCTCATCAAACAAATGATCTGCGCTTAGGTGTCCAGCGTAGTTCCCTCCCCCCCATGATATTTATTGAGCTCTACATTTTTCTCTGCTCCTCTCCCTGCCTCTCCCCTCCCCCCTTCAGTCCTCCCCCAAGGTCCCCATGTTCCCAATTTACTCAGGAGATCTTGTCTTTTTCTACTTTCTACTTCCCATGTAGATTAGATCTGTATAAGTCTCTCTAAGTGTCCTGATTGTTGTCTAAGTTCTCTGGGATTGTGATTTGTAGGCTGGCTTTCTTTGCTTTATGTTTAAAAACCACCTATGAGTGAGTACATGTGATAATTGTCTTTCTGGGTCTGGGTTACCTCACTCAAAATAATGTTTTCTAGCTCCATCCATTTTCCTGCAAAATTCAATCTGTCGTTATTTTTTTCTGCTGTGTAGTACTCCATTGTGTAAATGTACCACATTTTCCTTATCCATTCTTCGATCGAGGGGCATTTAGGTTGTTTCCAGGTTCTGGCTATGACAAACAAAGCTGCTATGAACATAGTTGAGCACATGTCCTTGTGGCATGATTGAGCATTCCTTGGATATATACCCAAAAGTGGTATTATTGGGTCTTGAGGAAGGTTGTTTCCTCATTTTCTGAGAAATCACCACACTGACATCCAAGGGGTTGTACAAGCTTGCATTCCCACCAGCAATGCAGAAGTGTTCCCTTTTCCCCACAACCTCTCCAGCATAACTTGTCATCAGTGTTTTTGATCTTGGCCATTCTTACAGGTGTAAGATGGAATCTCAGAGTTGTTTTGATTTGCATTTCTGTGATGACTAAGGATGTTGAACATTTCCTTAAGTGTCTTTCAGCCATTTTAGGTTCCTCTGTTGAGAGTTCTCTGTTTAGGTCTGTACTCCATTTTTTTTTATTGGATTATGTGATCTTTTGGTGTCCAATTTCTTGAGTTCTTTGTATATTTTGGATATCAGACCTCTGTCTGATGTGAAGTTAGTGAAGATCTTTTCCCATTCTGTAGGCTGTCGTTTTGTCTTGTTGACTGCGTCCTTTGCTTTACAGAAGCTTTTCAGTTTCAGGAGGTCCCATTTAGTAATTGTTTCTCTCAGTGTGCTACTCGGGTTCTATTTAGGAAGTGGTTCCCTGTGCCAATGCGTTCAAGTGTACTTCCCACTTTCTCTTCTGTAAGGTTCAGTGTGGCTGGCTTTATGTTGAGGTCTTTGATCCATTTGGACTTGAGTTTTGTGCTTGGTGATAGATGTGGGTCTATTTTCATTCTTCTACATGTTGATATCCAGTTATGCCAGCACCACTTGTTAAATATGCTTTCTTTTTTCCATTTGATATTTTTTTTGCTTCTTTATCGAATATCAGGTGTTCTAAGATGTATGGATTGATATCCGGGTCTTCTATTCAGTTCCATTGGTCCTTCTGTCTGTTCTTATGCCAGTATCAGGTTGTTTTCAGTACTGTAAATTTGTTTTTTTAAAAATTTTATTCATATTTTAATGAGGAGTACATCATTAAATGTCATACAGTGTTAGAAGAGGGCATCGGATTATGAGCCACTACGTAGTTGCTGGGAATTGCACTCTGGACCTATGGAAGAGCAGCCAGTGCTCTTTCTCCGGGCCATCTCTCTCTTCAGCCCCGAGGTGGCTGCTGTTTTAGCCCAGGTTTTCTGTTCTAACATGGCTCTTTCACCCGCTGCTCTCCCAGCCCCTAACTTCCAGCGCTCCCGTGTGTCTGTATTTCAGAAGTTCCAGCATGAGCTAAGCACCAAGTGGGTGTTGAATACAGTGAGTACCGGGGCCGACGTGCTGCTGGGGAAGACCTTACAGAACCACATGCTGGACTTCCACATCGCCAACTCCAAGCTCTTTTGGAAGGCACTGGCCATGTTGCAGGTGGGAGCGTGACAGGAGTCCCGCAAACCCAGACTGCCATAGAAGGTGTTTTTTTGCAATGTTGGGGAGGGGTGTAGGGTTAAGTGCTAGATTTTCACAGGCATGTCTTTCTCGGGCATATTATCCGGTCTTCATTGCATGCACACAAAGGTGCAGGAGTGTGATACTGTACCTCCCAGTTGGCAGTCTTTAGGTTTCAAGGTGCAATAGAAACCCAACTAGTAGCTGGGCAGTGGTGGCAGACGCCTTTAATCCCAGCACTCAGGAGGCAGAGACAGGCAGGTGTCTGTGAGTTCGAGGCCAGCCTGGTCTACATAAGTGAGTTCCAGGACTTAGAACTGAATAGTTCTAAGACAGTAACCCCAGTGGGAAGGAGTCTTTCTGTTCCTCATGACACCGCTAGCATCTGGCTGAGGGCTCTTGTTGCCTTGTCTTGGGTCATGTGCACAACTTTGAACCAATCACTGCCCTCCAGGGAGAAAGGGCACCTGCTCATCTGCTTTGTGTGTACTTTCAAGAATCTGGTGGGGCAGGATGGCTTGATTATATCTACGGTCTCAGAATGGAGACCAACAGTTATCCAGGAAAAGAAAGGGGCCAATGCCCAAATGGAGGGAGAATGGATGCTGGGCAGAGATCATGATGGACAGCCTTGAAGGTTGCTATCCTTTATCATCGATCTACATGGGGTCTTTGGATCACAGTTGTAAATCTCACCAACTTCCCATTCATTAACTCCTTTAACTCACTTTTCCTTTACACCTTGTGATTATGGGGTTGCCAGGAGAGACAAACTCTCCACAGTGTCTTCGGCCAGTCTTCAGGATCCTAGCTGCCCTGCCACCCCCCCCCCCTTCTCCAATTGCTTTCTTCTGTGACACTATTCTCAGTTCTCCTTGCCCTCCATCCCAACACCGACCTTACTACTACTCCCACAGCGGTTCTCTGGACAGTACAAGGCTCGCTGCATCGAGAGCCTCCTCCAAGCAGTCCATTTTCCTCAACCACTGTCAGATGATGTCCGGGCTGCTCCCATCTCCCACTACGTCCAGGTTGCCCACGAAAAGGGAAATGTATCCTTTCTTTCCCCTTGCTGGCCGTTCCACAAACTCTTTCTGAGGATCTTAAAAATCTAAGGAACTTGGTATGACACCAGATTTACAAAGCTCAGAGATCAGTGCCACGGGGAGCTCCCATTAGGAGGGGTAGGTGGATGGGGTGGGGATGGGGTGAGGATGCATGACAGTGGCAGAAACTACAGAGGTAAAAACGACATCAACAAAACGGCTTCTGTTCTGCCTTGGAGGGGCATCAAGAAGGACTGAGAGAAGGGTCTTAGCACAGGAATTTTCCAGCTTAAGTGAAGGTTTTTTTGTTTGTTTGTTTTTCAAGACAGTGCTTCTCTGTAGCTTTGGAGCCTGTCCTGGCACTCGCTCTGTAGACCAGGTTGGTCTCGAACTCAGAGATCCACCTGCCTCTGCCTCCCACGTGCTGGGATTAAAGGCGTGCACCACCACAGACCCGCCATCTTCCTATTCTTTTACCCAACCTAACTCCTGTGCCCAATTCTTGTCTCCTCCAGGGTTCTTTCTCAAATGACCTTACATTTTCTCCAGCTCGCCCTGCCCCTTCCCACAGGTGATCGCCACAGCCTTGCTGAGCCTTTTACAACGCTGCTCCATCACAGAGGCTAAGGCACGCCTGGCTGCAGCTCCTTCCGTCTATGAGGTTATCAGGAGCGCCCTCTCTGGGCCGGGTCAGAAGCGTACCACCCGAGCACTTGCGGACCCAACAGCCTATAGTGCAGTAAATTGATGTTTCTGGGACCGTGAAGAGCCTCTGCCATCGGTCCAGTCCCACGAAGACTTGTGCCAGCGATACACGTGGTGGTGGGACAAACCCAATTTCTGGGGGTGGGGGTGGGGGTGGGGGCATTAACAGCCCGGGATCGGGGAAGAGTCACTGGCATCTTCTGATCTCAGAAATAAAACTGATTGTCTTGTTTTGGAACCTAACCTTGCCAGCACTTGGGAGGCAGAGGCAGGCGGATCTCTGTGAGTTCGAGGCCAGCCTGGTCTAGAAGAGCTAGTTCCAGGACAGGAACCAAAAAGCTACGGAGAAACCCTGTCTCGAAAAAAAAAAATTCCCCCCCTGAACCCTCAAGGGACATGCTGACATCATAATGTAAATGACAGGGCCTAAAAGCTCCTTGTTAGGCTGGAGGTGGCCCAGAGGTGGGGAATGAAGGCTGCTCTTGCAGAGACTCAAGTTCAGTACCCGGCACCCATGTTGTGTGGTCCTCAAACACCTGTCCCTGCAGATTCCCTCTCGGCCCCTCTCCATAGCACCTGCACTCATACGTGCATACGCATACACACACAATTTAAAATAGTAAGAAAAGCAAATCTTGTTTGCACTGCCTTGACTCTAGGGAAGATGGAGTGATGGGTGGTATAATGACTGATCTGGGCAATGAGACCGTCAATCCTCTCTTAAGGCCACTGCTCAGAGTGATGTGTGTCGGGGCAACAGCAACTAGGAAATAATATGGAGACCTGCAAACCTAGAAAACCAAGCACCTCCAAGTCCCTGAGGGATCCCACTTGATCTATCCCAGCTCTCTTAGATTCCACTTGGGGCTATGTTCTAACTTGCAGTTTGCAATTTATGGCTATAGACCCAGTCCAAACTTGACAGTGACCAGTGACTGGCTCCAAAGAAAATGTGAGTCAGAACAAGTCATTTGGGAAGACCTTTGAAAGTCTGCCTCATCACGCCTCCCTTAATGACAAGTCTGCCTAGCTGAACCCTAGGAGATTCACAGATGGATTCTTCCCTGAGCTTTAGATATCAGAGCTCTCAGAGCCACGGGCAGACACAGGGAAGGGCTCAGCTGGTACCTGAGCGTGCCCACAGCCTGGCTTTCCCTGGCAGGGCCTATTGTGATGTCATTGAATCTCACTATAAAGGCAGAAGCTGTAGCTGAGAGGGGGCATAGGCTTGAGGAATGGCGTTACTGTGGGGCCTGGCTGCCCCACTGCCAGCGTATCTCAGCGTTGTGTTACTTGGTTTTTTAGTTGTTGTTGCATGGATACTGTTTTCTAGGCATCAGAACAAGGGCCAGGTGGCAGCCAAGACAAAGGTACGTGATAACCACTCTTTCTCAAGTCACTTTTCCCCATGCTGACGTCCTATAGGTTTGTCTGAATGCCTGTTCTCTGGGCCATAGGAGGACCTTGATGGAGGGCAGAGGGGAGTTGAGACATTACTAATAGATGCTTCCTCCTTTTTCTTTCTTTCTTTTGATTTTTCAAGACAAGGTTTCTCTGTGTAGCCCTGGCTCTCCTGATTTCTGTAGACCAGGTTGGCCTTGAACTCACAGAGATTCTTTAGCCTCTGCCTCCCAAGTGCTGGGACTAAGGGAGGCACTACCTGCCTTGTCTTTCTCTTAATTCACTTCAAGAAGCCTTAGGATGGGTATGGTGGTGCATACCTTTAGTCCCAACAATTGGGAGGGAGAGGCAGGAGGATCTCCCTAATTTCAAGACTAGCCTGGTCTACATAGTGAGTTCGAGGACAGCCAGGACTGAACAGAGATTCTGTCTCAAAAATTGAAGAATATGAAGAAGAATACAAAGAAGAAGAAGGAGAGGGAGAGGAGGAGGAGGAGGAGGGGAATGAAACGGGAGGAGGACGAGGAGGGGGAGGATGGGGAGAAAGGGGGAGGAGGGGAAAGAGGAGGAGGGGGAAGGAGAAAAGAAGAAGACGATGACGAGGAGAAGTCGAGGGGAAGGACGAGAAGGGGGAGGAGGAGGGGGAGGAAGAAGGAGGAGGAGGAACGGGAAGAGGAGGGGAAGAAAGAGGGGGAGGAGGGGGAAGAGGAGGAAGAGGGAGAGGAGAAAGGAGGAGGGGGAAGGAGAAGAGGAAGAAGAAGAAGACAACGACAAGGAGGAGAAGTCAAAGGGGAGGAGAAGAAAAAGAAGAAAGAAGTAGCTTCGGTAGCTTTAGGATCTATTATCAAATAGACACTGAGGAAGAATTACTAGGTATAGAGGAAGTGCTGTCTAGGAGTTCCAGCTGAAATGAAGCATTCATATGACTTAACTCTGGGGAAGTTAGGGGAAAGAATGTGGTAAGTAAGAGTGGTGTGGATATTGTCCATCGCATGGATGGGAGGCAGATGGTAGGTGAGCTTGTCTTATGAAGAAAGATTTATAACCATATGACAAGACAAAGAAGGTCTCAGGGAGTGAATTGCAAGTGTCTATTTCCAGTGGGAGAGAGATTGTCTGAGTACATTGTTTGTGTGTTTGAAACATCAGTAGATCATGCCTCTTCTGAGTCTTCGATCCTCTGAGCAGACCATGAGCGGCTGGCTCTCCTGCCATCTTCCCCAGACTTGGCACGCCCACCTCTTTATTGAGTCACTCCAGTGAGTGTGTGGTATTGCACTATGGTTTCATGTGCATCCCCCACCCTGCCCCCCGATAAATAATAACATTGAATAACATCTCAGGTTTAATAGTTGTTTGGAAATTCTCCTTTGTAAACTGCCTATTCAAGTCTGTTGTGCATTTTTTGTTTGTGTGAATTCGTGTGAGTGTGTGGGTGTGTGTGTGTGAGCATGTGAGCATCTGGGTGTCTGTGTGTATGTTAGTGATGATCAAATTCAGGTCATTGCTCATTCCAGGTAAAGCAATGACTACATTTCTGGTGTATTTTTTCCTTGATTTTTGTTTGTTTGTCTGTTTTAGGTTTTTTTCCTTTTGGTTCTTCAAGGCACAGTTTGTCTATGTAATCCTGGATGTCCTGGAGATCTTTCTGTAGATCAGGCTGGCCTCGAACTCACAGAAATCTGCCTGCCTCTGTCTCTCGAGTGCTGGGATTAAAGGTGTGTGTCACCACCGCCTGGCAACAGTATGTTTCTATTTATTTATTTAGTAAAAACTTTCGTTTCTCATTTTACATACCAATCCCAGTTCTCACTCACTCCCCTCCTCCCTTCCCCTCCACCTCCCTCCATTCACTCCTCAGAGAGGAGTCCACAAAGTCTAGCACATTGCTTTGAGTCAGGACCAACGCCCTCCCCACTCTATCTAGACTGAGCAAGGTATCCCTCCAAAGAGAATGGGCTCCAAAAAGCCAGTACATGCAGTTGGGATAAATCCTGGTCTGTCAGTGGCCCCACAGTCTGCCCCAGTCATACAACTGTCACCCACATTCAGAGGGCCTAGTTGGGTCCTATGCTGGTCCCCTCACTGTCAGGTCAGAGTTGGTGGGTTCCCATTAGCTCAGGCAAGCTGTTTCAGTGGGTAACCCCATCATGGCCTTGACCTCTTTGCTTGTATTCTCACTCCTCCCACTCTTCGACTAGACTTTGGGAGTTCAGCCCAGTGATTTGCTGTGGGTCTCTGCCTCTGCTTGCATCAGTTGCTGGATGGAGGATCTACGGTGATATTTAAGATAGTCATCAGTCTGACTACAGGACAAGGCCAGTTCAGGCATCCTCTCCACTATTGCTTAGTGTCTTAGATGGGGTCATCCATGCGGATGCCTGGGAATTTCTCTAAAGCCAGGTTTCTTGCCAGAATGCTTCTTTATTCTAATATTTTCTTTTCTTTTAATAGTTTTATTTAAGTATTGGATAAAAGAAACATTTCTCTAGAGTTTACGTCAACATTTTGTTGATCAAATACCCGTGCTGTGCAGCCGTGCACATGAGGACGATGCTATTTGGATTTAGTGGGTTATAAAAAAAAAAAGGCAAACATGAGGTTGGGAGTTGGATATGTTGTGGGGTATGTGGGGAAAGTTGGAGTGGGGAGGGGTGGGTATGATTATATTTTATTGTATGCATATATAAAGTATTTTGAATTAGGAAAAATTATTTAAAAAACCCCCTCCATGTTGTGATTTGATACATTTTGCTGCCTCTTGTACTTCCTGTGAGTTGGGATTTTTCCAAAATTCATGTAGAAATATATGCATTTTCCAGGGGATCAGGGTTGCCAAGTGTGACCTTCAGGAGGGATTCATGCCATTCTTTGCAGACTGGGTAGGGTCTCCCAGGCGGGGCTCCTTACTCTCTGAGGACTGGGTTAGCTGCCACAGGAGTCGGATCCATTTTGTCTTCCGCATGCACCCACCAGCTCCTCTGCTTCTGCTGTGAGTTGAAGCTGTACAAAGACGTCACGTGAGCTAAGGACAAGCTAGCACTAGGCTCTTAGACTTCTGGAACCATGAGGCCAACTAAACCCCTTCCTTCATAGATAGGCTGATGACAAATATTCTATTTTTTGCAACTCAACATGAACTAGAACCAGGAGGAATTTGTTTTCTGTTGAGAAGAGAGGACATACTTCATAGGTCACGATACTCACCAGGAGGTACATATTGTCTGCTCTGGTATGGCATTCTATCTATCTATCTATCTATCTATCTATCTATCTATCTATCTATCTATCTATCTATCATCTATCTATCTATTTATCATCTATCTATCATCTATCTATCTATCTATCATCTATCTATCTATCTATCATCTATCTATCTATCTATCTATCTATCTATCTATCTATCATCTATCTATCTATCCTCCATCGCCTATATCTATCTTTTTATGTATTTTTAGTACTAGGGATCGAACCCGGGGTCTGGTGTGCTAGGCAAGCAGTCCACCACCTTTCTTTCTTTCGGGGGAGGGGGCAGGGTTTCTCAGTGTAGCCCAGGCTACCCTGGAACTCACTTTGTCACTCTGTAGACCAGGCTGGCCTACTCACAGAGATCCACCTGCTCCTGTTTTCTGAGAGCTTGCATTAAAGATACATGCCACCACTGCCCCTTGTAAATCCCATTTTATAAATGATGCTGAAACCCGCAAATACAACATCTTTCCATAATGATCTGCTTAGAGGACCCTGCTAAGTTTCTCACTTTGAATCTATTCTCCTGAAGGAATATTCTCTAAATCATGTTATGTATAAATAACAACAGTTTTATTACCTATTTTCCAGTTCTTATTTATGCCTTTGTTCTCCTTGCCTTCATTTATGAATATGACTTCCAGTACAATATTTAGGAGCAGTGTGTTGTGGGCATCTGTCTCTTTTATTAAGTCAAGGAAAGTTTTCAGTACTTCACCAGTTATGTATGTTTTCTGTAGCTTTTCAAATATTCTTTATCAAATCAAGGAAATTTTAGCAAGAATTGGTGTTAATTAAAAAAATCTTCTAAAATTTTAAATTTAATCTCTTCATACTGGGTACTAAGTATTAAGTATATTTCCTGCCTCTATTTAGATGGTCATATTTTTTCTTGTTTGTTCAATCAGTGTACCGAGTCGCATGAGAATGTAAGATAATAAATCAACTGTGAATTCCTAGGAAATGTGTAATTCATTTGTAATGTTGGATCCAACACTTTAATTAGATTTATTAGATTCAGTTTGCTAATATTTTGTTTGGTACTTTTGCAACTTTGCATAAATATATTGAGTGGTCAGGTCTTAATTAGATTTTAGAATGGTGATTGTTCCAGCTTCTTCAATTAAAACAGAAGCAAATCCACATTTCCATCTCACTAACGGAACAGACGCCCTCAATGCTCACAGAGTTACAGGGGTTTTGGAAGTTTGTACTAAGAATCTGGAACAAAGACCAGATTGCTCTTTATTACACACACACACACACGCGCGCGCGGACACACACACGCATGCACGCACACACACATGCACACACACACACTCCAAAGGAATGTGACTAAAGTTAAGAAATTGGCTCTCAGCTGGGCCCGGTGGCGCACGCCTTTAATTCCAGCACTTGAGAAGCAGAGACAGAGGGATCCTGTGAGTTCAAGGCCTCTGGTCTACAGAGTGAGTTCCAGGACAGTCAGGAACCCTTCTCTCTCAGAAAAAAAAAGAAAGAAAAAAGAAAAAGAAAAAAGAAAGAAAACAACAACAAAAAATTCACATTATTTTTCACATTTGAATTTTTTTTAAAAAAAATAAGAATTGTTTTATTTTCTGTGTATGAGATTTTTGCCTGCCTGTGTGCATGACAACACATGTTTCCTGGTGCTTTCAGGGGTCATAAGACAGCAGCAGGTCCCTTGAAACTGGAGTTACAGTTAGAAGACACAGTGTGGGTGCTGGGAACCAAACCTGGGTCCTCTCCAAGAGCAACCAGCGCTCTTAACGCTTGAGCCACCTCTCCAGCACCCCACATTTGAATTTGCGTCCGTCTCCACATCCCATATTGAGAAATGATACACTTTTACTTTTCTCTTTTTTATTTGCCACTGTCTTAGCTCCTTTCCTGTCCCCTGACTGCTCTAACAGAAGTGACTTAATTGGGGGAAAGGTTCAGTTCTGCTCAGTCTCCCAAGGTTATGGTCCACTGGGGAAATCGTGGCCGTGGGAGCTTAGGGTAGCGGTAACATTGCTTCGGCAGTAAAGAAGAGATCAGCGAGGAGTCCAGACTGCAACTTGCTTCTCTTTCCCCACGGACACAGTCTGGGTTCCCAGAGAAGGGCGCCTTGTTTCCTCTGAGCATGTGACACTTTGAGAACCTTTTTTTTTTTTAAATAAGGTCTTAGTTATTTTATACAGGGCATTCTTTGCCCCAACTCTTTTGCTAACCCAGATTTTTCTAGAGTCTGACACTGGCGTGACTTAGGATTTCAGGGTGGCCTCTGAGGTTTCACTGTTGCTCCTCGGGTTTTTGTTTTGTTTTGTTCCCATACCAGATTTCTCACTCTTTGACACGTGATAATCAATTCAGCCCGAACCTGTAAAATTAAAAGAACTTATTTGAGTCCTATAAGTAGCAATCCAAGAAGCATAGGTCCAGGAGCCTTTGGATCCATGTTCTAGAGAAGACGGGGAAAGTAGGGATCTGTATGGGCAAGCAGCACTGACTATTGAATGCTGGGTAAGAACAGGATCCATGTAACCAATAGAAGACAAAGAATAAGAATCTGCATACTAGTAACATGTCCATAAAACCGAGTCTCTTGAAAAGCCACTGACTCTTTGATATCTACCCCAAATGGCAATTCTTCCATTCTTTCTTAAGAAATTAATCGTGGTCTTCTGTGTTCAATGATATCTTTCTTTCTTTTCTGTTTCTTTTCTCTCCTCCTCCTCTTCTTCTTCTTCTTCTCTCTTTTTTTTTTTTTTTTTTGAGACAGTGTTCTCTGTGTAGCCCTGGCTATCCTGGAGCTTACTCTGTAGACCAGGCTGGCCTTGAACTCAGAGATCCACCTGCCTCTGCCTCCTAAGTGCTGGAATTAAAGGTGTGTGCCACCACAGCTCGGCTGATATATTTCTATGACATTTACCCCACCCCATCTTTATTTATATATTTAAAAAAGAAAACAAATTATTTCCCTTCATTACACACACCAATCCAAATTCCCACTCCCTCCCTTCCTCTTACTCCATCCACATATCTCCCACCTTACCCCATCCATCCTCAGAGAGGTTAAGGCACATTGCTTTGGGGAAGGTCCATGGCCCTCTCTACTATATCTGGGTTGATCAAGGTATCCATCCAAAGAGAGTAGGGTCCCAAAAAGCCAGTACATGCAGTAGGGCCAGTGGTCCCGCAATCTGCCCCAGCCATACAACTGTCACCCACATTCAGAGGGACTAGTTTGATCCTATGCTTGTTCCTTCCCAGTTTAGCTGAAGTTGGTGAGCTCCCATTAGCTCAGGTAGACTGTTTCAGTGGGTGAACCCATCGTGATCTTGACCTCTTTGCTCATATTCTCATTCCTTCCACTCTTCAACTGGACTTTGGGAGCTCAGTCCAGTGCTCCGATGTGGGTCTCTGCCTCTGTTTCCATCAGTTGCTGGATGAAGGTTCTATGTTGACATTTAAGATATTCATCAGTCTGACTACAGGGCAAATTAAGATTGGGCTCTCTCTCCTCTATTGCTTAGGGTCTTAGCTGGGGTCATCCTTGTGAATTCCTGTATCTAGAGCCATGTTTCTTGTTAACCCCATAATGTCTCCCTCAATCAGGCTATCTCTTTCCTTGCTCTCATCTCTGTCCTTCCTTCATCTCGACTATCCCATTCTCTCAAGTTCTCCTCACCCCTCTCCTCCCCTAGCCTTCCCCTTCTCCCCTCCCTTCTCCATCCACCTCGTGCTCCCAATTTTGTCAGGCGATCTTGTCTATTTCGACTTTCCAGGTGGATCTATATATGTTTTTCTTAGAGTTCACTTTATTACTTAGCTTCTCTAGGATCATGAATTATAGGCTCAATGCCCTTTGTAGCTAGTATTCGCTTATGAGTGACTACATACCATATTCATCTTTTTGGGTCTGGGTTACCTCAAAAAGATGCTCAATCATACTACAAGGGCATTTGTTCAACTATGTTCATAGCAGCATTATTTGTAATAGCCATAATCTAGAAGCAACCTAGATGGCCCACAACTGAAGAGTGGATAAAGAAAATGTGGCACATTTACACATTAGAGTACTATTCAGCAGTAAAAAATAACGACATCTTGAATTTTGCATACAAATGGTTGGAATTAGAAAACACTATCCTGAGTGAGTTACCCCATTTTTTAAAAATTACATTTGTAAGCACTCAGGAGGCAGAAGTGGGACCCCTGTGAGCTCCAGATCAGCTTGATCGACAGAGCGAGTTCCAGGACAGCCAGGTTTCTCAGAGAAACCCTGTCTCGAAAAACAAAAACAAAACAAAATGAAAATTATATTTTGTGTGTGTGTGTGTGTGTGTGTACATGTGTGCGTATGACATGGGGCCAGGGGTATGTGGAAGTAGAGGACAACCTGAAAGAGTCTTTTCATGTACCATACTGGTCATAGGGATTGAACATAGGTTGCCAAGGCTTGGCCACAGGTATCTTTAGTCACTGAGTCGTTTTGCTGGCTCCCACATGGCATCTTACCTGTTTGGTTGGCTATTTTCCTTATGAATGCAAGTCTCTAGAGTACAGGACTCATACACACAATAATCTAGGACTAATTTGTATGTGTGTAATCCATGTACAAATGCCCATGGCACGCGTGTGGAGGTGAAGACGACTTGTGGAAATTGCTTTTCTTCTTTTACTCTGTGGGCTCCAGAGACGGAACTCAGGTCATTAGGCTTGGTGTCAAACACCTGTGCCTACAGGGCAATCTTGCTGGTCCCTTAGTATACTTAATAAATTATTCACACGTAATTCGATGAGATGGTAACTAATAATATGGTTACAGATGACAACCGTGTTGATACCTGATATAAAATGTGTCACTATCCCATAGATAAGGTGAGAAGTGTTGTCCATAAAACCCCCAATCTAGAGCATAAACCTGACTTTGTCTCTTTTTGTGTGTTTCTCTAGATTTCGAAGAAACATGAAAAATTCCAGAAACATCAACTTACAGGTCAAAATGATTCTCTCCCTTACTGATCAGCTCAAGGCTGGTGACTGATCAACCGTGGGCCATGCTTTCAAACTCTAGTCTTGAACAGCGGGTGGAAGAAAGTGGAAAAAGAGGGTGTTCCTGGATAGTGCCCCCATCTTTCTGACATCTTCACTTCCAAAGTCATGCAGACAGCTCCATAATTCCTACATTGTTTGCTTTCCTCGTGCTTCTCTGTCCCATACATTTTCATGGCATGGGCAAAAATTAACTACCAAGAGTTTGGTGAGGGAGGTCCATCTCCTTATTTCGCTACCACGGATGTGGATGTGGGGTAGACATCTTTAAAGGAAAAGATGTATTGGGAACCTCTGTGTCCCTCACTACTGCATTCCGGGGTCACTTCTAGTACATGATGAAGACAGTATAGTTTGCTTGCAAAACAAAACTTGATAGCTGGGCCGTACCACTCATCAGTTTCACGATGTGACTTCATCTTTGCTCCCCTAATTGTTAGATGATGTCAGTAGTCACTATGCTCACGGTCTCTTTACTCCTATTACAGTTTCACAGCTGAAAAAAGCTGGAATGATGAATATCATTGAAGCTGATCTAACATGGTAAGCAGAGTCTGTCTTCAGACTGTCCTATGACAAATACCATGATGGCTGGTTTCATGTCAACATGATCCAAACTGGCATCATTTTGGAAGAGATTGCCCTCTCTAGATTGCCCTGTGGACAAGCCTGTGCTGCTTTTTTAAATTTTTTTTTTTTTTTTTTTGGTTTTTCGAGACAGGGCTTCTCTGTGTAGCCCTGGCTATCCTAGAACTCACGCTGTAGACCAGACAGGCCTTGAACTCAGAGATCTACCTGCCTCTGCCTCCAAAGTGCTGGGATTACAGGTGTGTGCCACCACTGCCCAGCTACATTTTCTTAATTGATGATTGATATAGGAAGGTCCAGCTCACTGTGGGTGATGCCACCCATGGACTGGTGGTCTCAAGTAGCACAAGAAGGCAGGGTGAGCAAGCCATGAAAGCAATCCAGTAAGCAGGGTTCCTCCACGGCCTTTGCATCAGCTGCTGCCTCCTGGGTCCATCTTGCCCTGAGGTCCTACCATGACTTCTGTCAGCAATGGAGTGTAACCTGAGAACTGTAAGCTGAAACAAACCCTGTCCCCCTAAGTTTGTGGTCATCGTGTTTCAGTACAACAATGGAAATCCTAGCTGCAACACCATCTTAACCGTAGATGCTGTATGTAAAATCCTGGGACTTTTACTTCATTTACTGTGACAGCAATTGCCTCCTTCCTAAATTAACTTCCTATTCTTATTGGCTGGCTTACTGGTACTTTAATATCACTTCAATTCTACTGACATCCCCTTTTGTGTTCAGTATTTCAGGAGACTCTACTGGCTGGAGCCAGGAATATATATCCAGATCCATAGACAGGAGTTTTCAAAAGATCTTCCATCATTTGGAAAATGCAAGGTCAGGAAACAGAGTTTCTGGGTAGGGGAGAGAGAGAGGGAGTAAAAGGAGGGAGGTAAAAGAAAAGTGAGTTTGAGCAATGGAGAATAATTTTTTAAGCTTTATTTATTCCATGTTTTATATGGGTATTTTACTTGCATGTGTGTTTGTGCACCACATTCATGACTGATGCCCACAGAGGCCAGAAGAGGGCATTGGATCCCCTGGCACTGGAGTTACAAATGTTTGTAGACTACCATGTGGGTGTTGGTAAGCAAACTTGGGTCCTCTGGAAGAGCAGACACTACTCTTAACTGCTGAGCCATATCTCTAGGCCCCAAAGTGTGTGTGTGTGAGTGTGTGTGTGTGTGTACACATCACATTTATTTAGGTATTTATTTATTTATTATTTTTGTGCATGTGTGCACATGTGTACCACATCATGTACATGGTGGTCAGAGGAGAAGCCACAGGAGTCAGTTCTTTCCTTCTAAGATGTGGGTCTTAGGGATCGAACACAGGTCTTCTTTCTTAATGGCAAGCACAGGTTGTGCGTGTGTGCATGTGTGTGTGTGCATGTATGTGTTTGCAAAACTTGGGTGTCATTTCTGGGGAGCCATGCAGCTGGATTTTTGAGATAATTAGCCTTGGCTGTCCAGTGAGCCCCAGGGTATCCACTTTTCTCTGCTTCCCCAGCACTGGGGCACTGTGTCCCTTTCTTTTCATGTGGGTCCTGGGGATGGAACTCAGCTTCTCTCTTTGTACAGCATGTCCTTTCCTCACTGACTCACACATCTTGCTCTTGGTGGAGGGATTCTTTACATAAATAACTGATGTTTGTGAATGCAACCCGTCCTTTCATCTCTCCCTTAGACCAAAAATGTTTTGAACTTGAAACAACCACTCTCTCTCTTCTTACTAATTTTATGCCTACTGATCCCAAAGAAAATGAAAACATTTCTTTTTGTCAGGTCAACACTTATGAAAACCTTAAAAGAGCCCCAAGATTGGTCTTCCTCCGGCTCTGACATTGTGGGTACGACGGGAAACCGTTCTTCTGACTCCAGCATGTCTTCTGTATCATATAGTGACAGCTCGAACCCATCCCTTCCAGTTTTTCCTGGAAGAGCAACGCGGCAATTCCGGAGCCATAGCTTCCCTGCTCTCTCCCGAAAGGAACCGCCTGCTCCCAGGAGCCGGGGCTCATCCCTGCCTACTTTACAGAAGACAGATCTTAAGAAATCTCTTTTAAATGAGAGCCTAGACCCCCTAGTATGGGCTCCACTCCAGCTCTCTCCTATAGTCAGAGGAGAACTGGAAAGACACATATCACATAAGGTTTCGACTTTGCGGGCACAAGTGGTGCATCTGCCTGTGAAGAAATCCTGGGAAATACGTAACGAATTGATGAATGTACAAGGAGTCCCTGAACAAGGGCTCCCCAAAACTCAGTTACCTACACTCCTCCCTCAGAGGGCTGAGCAAAATACCAACAGTTCTCCAGATGCTCCATCGTTTCATGTCCATGTAAACATTGGGGTGAATTCTGAATTAAGCAGGACGGAAGTGTCACAGACGCTGACCTCAAACAAGCAGTTACAGTCTGCGAATGACCACCAGGTTCTTAGCTACAACCCTGTAGTTATATCAATGGGCACTCCAGCTCCCATTAACATAGTTCGGGAAGAAAACGCTTTAATAAAAAAGGATCCAAGGCATGTGTTAGAGCTGAATAGAGATCAGAGGGTCCTCGGTCTTCCAGAACAAAGGATACAGCCACAAAGGGCACAAGTAACTGACGTGGAACTGACAGCCCAGGTACCACGCTCAGCCACGGACAGCGTAAAGGTCACTCCAGTGGCACTGCTTCAGGTTATGGGCTTGATGGGAATGATCCCAGAATCACATGCGCAGGTGATAGACTGCGTGGGGTTTCCCCCGCAGCCACCAAATCAAGCAGAAACAGTGAATCTAACTCCTCAGTCATCAGATCAAGTAATTAAACCAAAAACAGTAAAAATTCAACAGTATTCAGCTACGGAATCAAAGAGTATGGCCTCAAGACAGAGTCCAGTCACAGATAATATGAAGGTAACTCCTGCGGAATTGCTTCGCATCATGGATTCTATGGGGATGATTAATGAATTATACCCACATGTCATAAAACCAGCAGAAATAGCCCCAAAGCCACAATACCAAGTCATGGAATCTGCAAAGGTGGATATACTGCATGGCCACCAAGAAATACCACCAGAAGATAAGAGTCTAGGGCTACAGCAATCAGTTCTGGGAACTGTGGAAGTGATCCCCCAGCCTCAGCATAAAGTCATGGGAACACCGAACATGACCTTGGGCCCACAGAATCAAGCCACAGAACACATTGGGATTGCTCCCGGTCCAATACATGAAAATATATTGGAAATTAGCTCAAGTGCACTTCCTAAAGCCATTGATTATACAAAAGCAACCCCAGTGGCACAACAAACCATGGATTTCATGCAGAAAATTCCACCAGGAGAGCCACACATTACAGAACCTAGGGCTTTGATCCAAACTGAAAATTTGACCACACTGCCAGCCCAGCCAGACGTTCTGACTTCTACTGTCCCAAGAGGAGCAGCAGAATCTCGAGGCATACCTCCACAGCTACCGTCTACAGTCCTAGCGTCATCAGGAGTGATTCTGCTACCATCAGGTCAATCCCTGCATGCTCTAAAGGTGACCCCGATAGTACAGGCGCCACCTGGGGTGGGAATGATCCCACCACTCCAAGTTGTAGAGCCTCCTGGTTTGATTCCACAGCCAGTGGCTCAAGTCAAAGAACCTCTGGACTTGCCTTCTGGGTTCCAGGTTCAAGCTGGAGACTCTGTGGGGATGACTCCACAACATCAAGGCGCAGAGGGTGTGTCATCGACTCCAGGACTGTCTCAGCAGGTCATGGACCCTTCAAAGTTTACCCCACGGCACCAAGACTTAGACTATTCTGAAGTGAGCCCAAGGCAAAGTCACAAAATCCCAGAAAGGGGTGGGACCTCTGACACCCAGCCCCAAATGAAGAATTCTGTAGAGATGACAGAGGTACATAATCAAATAGTGGAACCTGTGAGAACAATCACAGCACCACTAGATCAAGGTACAATACCCATAGGAAGGAGCCAAAAACATCACGTTACAGAAGTGGTGCCAGTTACACCACTACTTAAGGAAATGAAACATTTGGGGGAAAACTCAATCCCACAGCCTAAGGTTATGGATTCAACGAATTTATCCCCAGAATTACAGAACGTAAAATCTGAGCACCTAATCCCAGATCCAAGATTGCGAAATATGAAATCTGTGGACATAGCCATGGCTTTAGTCCCAGAAAAAGTAAAATATGGACCACCGACCTCAAGAGCGGTATCTACAGATTTGACCCTAGAATTGCATCAGCTGATTATGCAGTTTGAGAAATTAACCCACAGGCCACAATTGCAAAGTGAGGAATCTGTGCCATCAGCCCCTGAATCTCAACTTCAAGATGTGAAATCTGGCCAAGTGATAGTTGAAGCACAACTCCAAAACATACAGTCTGCTGGGCTGGCCCCAGGTCCACAGGTGCAAAGTGATAAATCAGTACATTTGACCCCTGGTTCACAGACTCAAGGCATGCAAAGGGTTGTTCATTCAGCCCTATCGCAGGAGTTACAAGGAGATACAAAAATGGTGGAGTTGGCTCCAAGACCATCACTTGAAGATAAGAAATCTGTGAACTTAACCCGAAAACCATATTCACAAAGCACCAGCTTTGAGAAGACAGCCCATGTACCATTGCTCGAAGATAGAAAGACTCTGTTGGTAGAAGGTAGGAGTTTAATTCCCGAGGCACTGGTGGAAAGTGTGAATCTTAGTGAATTGGTCCCAAGCACACACCTTTGTGCGGTAAAATCCTTAGAAGTGAACCCCGACCCAAGTTATCATTTCCTGGAACCTGCAGAATTGGCCCTACGGCATCAAGCCCCAGAAGAAAGAGTGGGCTCTGACATTTGTCATCAGGTGGAAGAATCTGTTGAGCTGACACAATCATCATTAGGAATGAGGCTGACGCCACTGCGCCAAACCTCAGACTCTATGGAGATGTACTCACCACCACTCCAAGAAACTCTTGAAACTAGGAACCAGGTTGTAAAAGAGATGGAAGAGACTCCAGAATCACAAAACGCAATTAAAGATGCTCTGGATTTGCTACCAGAATCAGAAGTGCAGAATATGAACTCAGTGGTGATGGCCCCAGAACCACATCCCTACTCAGATGGGAAGTTTCTGCATGGGACTCTAGAATCGTGTTCAGAAATAACTCTAAGACCAGAATACAAAGACAGAGAGACTATCAGATTAACATTACCTAAAGTTGATGATACTCAGGGGGCCATGATAGAACCATATTCAGAAATGGAATCTCTGGAGTTGGGTCTAGAACCAGGAGTGCAAGGTGAGAAATCGGAGTCCTTGGCTCAACATTTGCAATCTGGGGAAGTAATTGGTAAACCACCTGTACTAGCTGTAGAGACTATCACACTAACTACAGGACCCAAACCACACATTAAACATGTGATCCCAGGGCCCCAGCTCAAAGTCAAACTTAGGCAAATGGATACAGAATCACAGTTGCAAAATGAAGACTCTATAAATGTAACACGACAGTCGTCTCTAGGAGAGGTAGGTCCTGAAAAGACAAAGCCAGAGTCAGGGCCACAAAGTCCATCCCCGAAGGAACTGATTGAGGAGACACAGCCCCCGAAAGTGAAATCTGTGCATTTCAATCTAGGACCACAGCAGCTAAGTATCAAATCTGGGTTGATTCCAGGGCCACAACTGCAAAGTGTCAGATTTCCAAAGTTCTACCAAGGGGGAAAACGAGGAAATGTCATCTCAGGCCCCCCACGTTATGGTGTGAAATCTGATGAGGCACCATCACGTTCCCCAGTACCAGAAATCAGATCATCAGATTGTATCCCGGGGCCAAATCTTCCAGAAGCAAAACTGCAACATGTGAAGCCTGTGGAAGTAAATGTAGGACCATGCTCGCAAGCTGTGAAATTCTCTGATCTGACCCCTGAGCCCAAGCACCAAGGTTTCAGATGTACACAGGTCATACCAGGTATTCACTTTCAAGATAGGAAGTCTCAGGGACTTTTGCCAGAACCCTTTTTGCCATTAAGCCAAGAGCCACAGGTTGAAGATAGGAAACTTGTTCTACCTATGGAAGTATCAGAGTTTCATAGCAGGAAACACACAATACCAGCCTCTGAACTACAATATCCAAGCATGATATCTGAGGAGGTAAACCCGGAACTGCGGCAACAAGATACCAAAGTGTCTGAGTTCGCTTCTAGGCTAAGACCTCAAGGGGTAAAATTTGGGGAGCAAACTGCAGGACCGTTGTTTCACGGTATGCATTTTATGACTCCAGAGTTGGGGATACATAATCCAAAGCTAGCGAAGATGACCCCAGAGCTCAACGATACAAAGCAGGTGAGTTTTAACTCGTGGCCGTGCCTGCAAAATGTCAATTTTTTTGATGGAACATCAGGAACTCAATCTCAAGGTGTGACGACTTCAGAGTTACACTCGGGGCCACAGTTGGAGTGTGTAAAAATGTTTGAGTTTACCACACAGCCAAAGAGGCAAGGGATGAAGCCAGAGTTAATAATACAGGAGACGCTGTTTGAAGACAGGGCATATGTCACAAGGAATCAAGCACCAAGCTTTGAAGATGAGATGTCTTATAAACTACCTTCTGGGCCACAGATACCAATGGCAGAATCAGTGAGGTTGACTCCTGGGATACAGCTAGCAAGTGTAGACCATTCTGAGTTGGTTGGAAGACCAGAGGCACAAGGTATAGAATCTTCTGAATCGATCCCTGGGCAGCATTTGGGACATATAAAATGTGTGGAGAAGGTCACAGCATCAAAGCAGGAAGAGTTAACACCAGGGCCACATTTGGGAGATGTGAAATCTATGGAGTTAAGGTCAAAGTCAGAGAGGGAAAATGTCAAAGCTATACTGTTAACCCCAGGGAAACAAGCAGGAGATAAAGAACCTGAGGAGCTGCCCCTGGGCCCCAACTTGAAAGGTTTAAAATCTGAGTTACTACCTTCAAGACCACAGTTAGAGGATAGGAGATCTGCGGTCTTAACTCTAGGACAATGTCCAGAGAGGATAAAATCTACAGTGGTCTCCCCATGTAGCTCCCAGTCAGATGGTACAAAAACTGTGAAGTTGATTCCAGGTTCAACAATTCAAGATTTGAAGACTGTGGGGCTGGCCCGTGATACACATGTGCAAGATCTAAATGCCATGGGTTTGAAACTTGAACCAAAGCAAGAAGAGAGTCCTGTGACTTTTGTACCAGGGAAAGAGTTTCAAGATGAGTTTATGGAGGTGTTGCAAGTGCCTCAACTACAAGGTCTAAAACCCAAGGAACTGACTGCACAGTCACAAATGCGGGGTAGGAAACATGTGATTATCTCATGTTTGAAGCCACAAAGTCTAAAACCTGTGAATATAGCCAAAACACAAGGAATCCCAGGAGTAAAACTTGTGAATTTAGTCTCAACACAACCGTGTCGAGGGATGGCGCCTACGGATTTAACTCTCAAGCCTGGACAGGATGACCAGATAACTGTAAGATCACCCGAGTGGAAAGGTGGGGTTTTAGACCAGCTGAGCAAGCATTTTGAGTCAGAAAATGTGTTATCCATGAAGTCAGGTCAAGAAGCCAAACCTGCAGATAAAAAACGCAAAGAGATCAAATTTAAAGTACAATTTAAAGATACACCATCATTTGAATCGACTCCTAAACCAGTTGTTCACAGTGTAAAACCTGAAGAGGCCCAAGATGAACCCCAGGTGCCAAGTATGAAACCATGCCAGGTGACTCCAGGGCCACAGGAGCACCAGGTGAAAGTCTCAGAGCCAATGTTAGAGCCACCATTTCAAGATGTGAAAACCATGGTGCTCACAGAGCCACACACTGGAAGTACAAAATCCGTCCGATGGATACCAATATCTGAGTTTCAAAGTGAGAAATGGGTAGGGTCAGACTTGAGGTTGCAATCTCAAAGTGCCAAACCTACAGAATTGAAGCCGTCTACAGAATGGAGGGGTGTGAGGCCCTCTGAATTGACTGTCAGGTCTAAAATAGTTCAAGAAGAAAAATCTGTAGGGTTGCATCTTGAGCCACAGTCACAGCAAGTAAAAACCTCTCCGTTAGCACTAGGGCTTCAGAAAACAAAAACTTTGAACTTAACATCAGAGCCACAACCTCAAGGAATCAAAACTGTGGATCAAAACAAAGATCCACCAGTTGGAAGGGTAAGATCCATTGAGTGGATACCAGGACCTGAGTTCCACAGCATGAAGTGTTTAGGGTTAAATTATGGGTCACAATCTCAAGGTGTCAAATCTACAGAACAGAAAATGTCTATACAGTTGGGAGGTGTGAAGCCATCAGAGACGACTGTAAGGCCAAAACTTCAAGAAGAAAAATCTGTGGGTTTTAACCTTGAATCACAAGTAAACTATACGAAGACACCTGAGTTGTCCCCAGAACCAGAGATACAGAAAGGAGAAAACGTCACATCCAATTCAGAACCACAGCCTCAGGGGATCAAAACTGTGGATCAAAACCAAGATCCATCAGTTGTAAGTGTTAGATCCGTTCAGTGGATACCAGGACCTGAGTTCCACAGCGTGAAGTGTTTAGGGTTAAATCGTGGGTCACAATCTCAAGGTGTCAAATCTACAGAACAGAAACCATCCATACAGCTGGGAGGTGTGAAGCGACCTGAAACAACTGTAAGGCCAAAACTTCAAGGGAATAAATCTGCAGATTTTAACCTTGAGCCAAAAGTACAGCACATAAAAACCCCTGGGGCATCCCCAAAACCAGAGTTACAAGAAGGGGAAAACTCAGAGCCACAGTCTGAGTGTGTAAAAAGTGTGGCCTTACACGACGGATCAGAGCCACAGTCTGATTGTGTAAAAAGTGTGGCATTACATCACAGATCAGAGCCACAGGCTGAGTGTGTAAAAAGTGTGGCATTTCACAACGGATCAGAGCCACAGGCTGAGTGTGTAAAAAGTGTGGCATTACACCACGGATCAGAGCCACAGGCTGAGTGTGTAAAAAGTGTGGCATTTCACGACGGATCAGAGCCAAAGGTTAAGTGTGTAAAAAGTGTGGCATTACACCACAGATCAGAGCCACAGGCTGAGAGTGTAAAAAGTGTGGCATTACACCACAGATCAGAGCCACAGGCTGAGCGTGTAAAAAGTGTGGCATTACACCACAGATCAGAGCCAAAGGCTAAGTGTGTAAAAAGTGTGGCATTACACCATGGATTACAGCTTGAAAATACAAAATCTGTTCAGTGGATCCCAGCATCTGGCTATCAAGCTAAGAAATCTATGCTGAATCTTAGGTTACAATCTGAAGATGTCACAGCTAAAGAGTTAAACCCTTTGGCACAACTAAAGAATGTGAAGACTTCTAATGAGTTGATTACAGGGCTGAAGTTACAAAGTAAACAACTTACAGGGTCAACGCCGGAACAACAGTCTCGTGGGTTCAAAACTATTGATTTTAAATCGGAGCGCCAGTTTAGAAGTATGAAAGGATGTGACCCAAACGTAAGGTCAAAGATTAACAATATAAAATTCACATTTGAACCCAGGTTTCCCTTAGAAGTCACAGGCTCTCCTGGATTGAACCCTGGAATGCAGCCACAAGAAGTGACCTTAGGGTCACCCCCAGGAACACAACCTCAATCTGTGACATCTTTAGTGTTTAAACAAGAGTCACAGGCCTCAGAAGCGAACTATGGGGTATTAAGCCAAAGGGCACAACCACAAAGCAGTATGGAGTTAAAAAGTGCAAAATCTTCTGAGTTAGCACTTCAGACAAAGCCTTGGGATATAAAATCTGAGATCAACTCTGGGCCCCAGTGGCAAAGTGCAGAATGTTCTGACTTGACACCTGAAACAGAGTCCCAAAATATGAAATGTGTCACGTCAAGTCAAGGTAAGCCATTTGCCAATCAAAGTGTCCAGCTAGACTGTAAACATGGGTCACAGTGGCAAGGTATAAAATCCAATCCAGGTCTGAGGACAAAGTCCCAAGAAATGGAAATAGAAGACTGTGAATCAGGCCCACAGTTACAAGATCTGAAATCTTCAAGGACAATCATGGGTATAAAGGTCCAAGATGTCATATCTATGGGCTTTACTCCTGGACCACAATTACAAGGTATGCCATCTGAAGTCCTTACAGAGAAGAGGGTTCATGGTGTGAAACTGGTAGAAAGCAAACCTAGTTCAAAGTTACAAGGTAAGAAACCTGATTTCACCCCAAGGAAGATGTTTTTAGGCACAAAATCAGTAGAGCTGGACTCAGTGTCCCCTTTACAAGATTTGAAATATGCTGAGCAGATCTTGGGTATGAAACTTCAAGATGTGAACTCTATGGAACATCACGTTACAAGTATAAAATCTCCCGAGCTGGTAACACAGATAAAATCCCAAGGCATAAAAGCAATGGACTTTAATTCAGGATCACAGCCACAAAATAAAAAGCCATCTGAGTTGGCTCATGGGAAAAAGCTCCAAAGTATGGAATCTTTGATAGTGGAGTCAAAGTCCCCAAATGGGGAATCTGTGGAGTTAAACTTGTGTGTGAATTCTTCCGTATGCACCCCAGGACCAAGTCTTCCGTGTGTGAATTCTTCTGTATGCACCCCAGGACCAAGTCCTCCGTGTGTGAATTCTTCCGTATGCACCCCAGGACCAAGTCCTCCGTGTGTGAATTCCACTGAGTGCAATTCTAAAGCACATTTTCAAAATGTGAATTCTTCTGCATGCATTCCAAGCCAAAACCCTCAGTGTGAACATTCTAATAGGAATAATCTTGGGCCACTTCTTCAAGGAATGCATTCTGGTACAACATTTCCAGCAGCACAAATGATGTGTGTAAATTCTGTTTGGTGCAGTGTCCAAACACATTTGCAAAATGTGAATTCTTCTGCATGTCCTCGAAGACAAGAATCACAGTCTGCAAATTCTATGGGCTACAACCCTGGGCCACATTTAGAAGCTCCTAAACATCAAGGTATGAAGTTTCCTGAGTTGAACCCAGGGACAGGAATTCAAAGAGAGATGCCTATAACGGTTAACCCAGGACAGCACTTGCAAGATTTAAGGCTTGAATTAACTCCAGGGTCAAATATTGCAGGTATAGCACCTGCAGAATACAACCCTGGGCCACAGGAACAATGTATGAATTTTTCTGAATTGAATCCAGGATTAGAATTACAACGCATAAATTTAGCGAAGCTTGGTTCAGGGCCACAGTTGCAAAACATAGAGTCCTTTGCATGGACCCCTGGATCAGAATCTCAGTATACAAGACCTGTTCTATTGAGCCCCGGACCCCCTTTTCAAGGTGTGAAGCCATCTAACTTATCGGTAGGGGCAAAGTTTCAAGAGATCCCATTTTTGAAGAAGCAATTTGGGTCACGGCAGCAAACTGCACAACCCATGTTGACTCCGAAGCCTCAGTCAACTGGTGTGGACTCTGTGGAAGTTTTACCAACACCACTGCCTGAAGATAAAATGTTTCCAGAGATGAGCAAACAACCATTGCTGTTCCTGCCACGAAGTGGAAACTCTGTGGGCTTATCACCAAGTCCATTCCTTCAAAATGTGACATTTGGGAACCAAATTCCCCAAACAAATGATCAAATCACAGAACCCTCTAAGGTGACAGGCAGACCAGCACACCACCTGGTGGACTATGCAGAGATGAACACGAAGATCAGGTACCAAGCCCCTAAATTGGTAAATTATATTCCGCTGCCCGTTTATCAAGAAGATGCGGGATCTTCAGAAATGATGAAAGGGTTGGGACACAAAAGCACAGAAACAACAGAGAAATCTATGAGGTTGACCTCCAAGCCAACGGATACAGTCACAGAATCATTGGGGATGCCGCAGCAGCCAGAGCTTCAAGTGCCAGGATTTGCTGATCTGACTCCAACACTAAGTGATCAAAAAGGTTCAGATGCCTCAGAACTGACCCCACAGAAAAACTACCAGAGCCTAGAAACCCTGGAGTTGCTTTCTTGTTCGTGGCCTCAAGTGAAAGATTTCGTGCAGTCACAGACCCAACCAGCCACAGGATCTAAGAGAATGACCCTCGACCTCAAGAATCATGCCACAGAAATGACGGGGCTAACTTGTAAGATAAGACAAGGGAAAGAATTTCTTAGAGTGTCTTCAACGCCAGTAAACAGAGAGAATGAATGTGTTGAAAAATCTCCACGGCCATATCCTCAAGACTTAGAACCTGTGATGGGGAGCTCCGAGAAAAGATCCCCAAGGGAACAATCTGTAGCCTCGTCACCAAGGCCATTCTATCATGTTCCAGATTCTGCTCCGGGGATAACACCAGGACCTCAGATTCCCGAATCTGTAGGTTTGATCTCTAAGCCATGGCTGCAAAGGGAAGAATTCCTAGAGTTGGCCGCCAAGCCAACCAATCAAGTTGTGGGAAATACAGCCTCTGTAGAGCTCCCGTTTGAGGAATGTCAGACAGAAGAGGTAGGAAGTGGTCTACCAACGCCCCAGAAGACAAGCATTGAAAAAGTGAACGCCACTCCAATAGAATCACTGGATCAGATTATAAACTTTGTAACGGTCAGCCCAAAGCCACTCAATCAAATGACAGAACCTGCAAAGACACAGCTTCAAGTTCCTCAAGTCTCTAAATCTCTGACAGTGATTCCTGGACCACCACTTCAAGTTATAGAGTCAGTGATGATACCGGAGCCGACCTCTCAAGGGTCAAAATATGTTGATTTGACTCCCAAACTGCATGATATGATAGTTTCAGAGTTTGCTCCAAGACTTTGGCTACAAAATGTTCAAACTAAGAAATTAATTGCAGAGCCAACACATCAGATTTTAGAAATGATAGAATTACCAGGCTTTCAAGTGATAAAGACAATATTGCATCCCAAGCCCCTGCTTCTGATTGCGAGATCCGAAGAGCTGGCACCGGGACCAAGTCCTCAGGCTGTAGAACCAATAGGAGTTGCCACAAGATCAAGAACTCAAGTAAAGGATCCTTTGAATTTGCTCCCAAGACCACATCTTCAAGACAAGATAAAACCTATAGAACGAACTCTAAGGGCAAATATTCAAGAAAATTTTCCAGAATTAATCTTACAGCAAACATCTCCACTTGAGGAACCTCCAGTATTAACTCACAAGCAAAGGCTTCAGGCTGGAAAATCTGTAGGACTCAAAAGAGACTCTCCTAAAGTACTGGAAATGGATCTGAATCAAGGACGGGCGTTTCAGAACAGAGATTCAGAAATGATAACATCAGAAAAGTTACAAGCAGAGAATTACTTCTCTAGGTTCCTAAGCAGCCCTCCGATCCCATTCATTTCAAGCTCTGTCAAAACAAGCGAATTAGGGCCCCTTCAGGGTTCTGGAATGCCGGAAGTGTCAAGAGCCCGGACTATGAAGAACTTTAATGTTGGCATTTTGCAGTCTCCAGAGTCCTATACAGACACTATTAGGATACGGTCACCAGCTCTTCCCTTGGTCCTTCCTTCTGATAAAACAGGGAACTCTGTGGGATCCCTATATCCTGAGATCTGGGATATGGATTTCATAACTAAGGAATCAACCGAAAAGAAGCAAATGGAAGAATTTGGGAATACACTGCAGAGCTATTCTCCGTATCCACTGAGATTACTACCCTCGGAGTTTCAGGCAGGATTAGGAGCTCGAAGAAACTCTATTCGTTCTTTCCTGGGCAGACAACTGAACATCTGGGAAAGCCATGTCTGTAGGCAGCGACTACCCAGGAAGTACCTCTCCAATATGCTGATGCTGGGGAATGTTCTGGGAACCACTATGGAAAGAAAGCTTTGTTCTCAACCGTTTTTAACAGAAGGAGCCACTATGGGTATCTGCCAATCAATTCAGAATTTATTTGGGGTTCCAGCTGAATTGATGGAATTTTCCCAGAGCCTACTAGAGAGGGGCCCAAGGACAATTTCACAGACGTCAGTGGTCAAAAACTATATTCAGAGACATATCTTAGGCCATGGTCACGAGAAAAGAATACCCTTAAAGATGTGGACACGTGGATCCACATCCTCCATAATACAGCAGTACTCTGGGACTAGATTGGGACTAAAGAAAACGAACTCAAAACTCAGTGATATATTCCAGGAAGCCACTCAGCACGTGCCTGTCTCATGTACAGGGGCCCAGTTTTTTGCCTTAGGGAAGCCAGAGTCTCCTTTCGGGATACTTTACAGTAGGGAAGATCCTGTTTCCAGGGAGCCGAGTAATATCTCCCAGAGCGATTCACAAACAGGAACTTCCGAGACTCACCACTCCTTCGAGGCAAGTTATTTTTCCCAGACCAATACCGAGCTCTCAGAAGAGCTTAAAGATCTAAAGCTAGAGATAGCAGCAAAACTCTTACGGAGTCAGATACCCTACAACGTCCGTCCACCCTCAGAGTCGGGTCTTGTCCTGAAATACCCCATCTGCTTGCAGTGCGGCCTATTTTCAGAATGTGGATGTGGTCATAAGTCCCAGTCTGCTTACATTCTCGTCTACCCACAGACCCACCTTATAAAAACCCCTGAAGGCCGTGGTGAGATCCAGACGCATCTTGGTTTTAGGTTGCACATTAGAAAAAGACCTCAAGTCTCAAAGGATTGTGGGAGAAACAGAGCAGACACATCGAAGAACCCTTCCTCATCATCACACAGAAAAGCTAAAATCTATACTCCAGTTTCCAAGAGTCCAACTTCTACAAGAGATTTCCAGTCCGGATCTTCCCAGTCTCCGGCTTCTGTACCAGTTCACAGGAGGCAAAAGCAATGGGGCAGCCATGGTGTGGCAAGGAAGACAAAAGCCAAAGACTCTGGGCATTATGAATTCTGTGAGGTTCTCTCCGCGTCAGAGAGTGACTCTGAAAGTAACCAGCATGAAAAATGGGCTAAGTCAAGACTCAGTAAGACCTCAGACTTAAAATATCCAATGAAGAAAATCACCAAGGAACTTAAAAAGCAAAACATAAAGCTCTACAAAAACAGTAGACCCACAGAAGAATGTCCTTCTGGAACACTGACAGATCCATCAAGAAGCAAGAGTATCAAAACCACTCAAACCAGCACTGTTTCTTCAAAGAGACAACCGAAGAAATCCTCTCAGCCCAGGTTCATCCAGCGGCTTTCTCAGGGCCTAAAGCAGGCATTCCAAAGAGCACATAGAGCTATGGCTATCACCAGACAGAAGCCTGAGGACAGGGCTAGTCCAGACAATTTGTGGTCAAGCAAAAACTTGTACCCCGAAGAAAAAGACGAGGATGATTGTTTAACAGATGGCAGAGGGGCCAGCACTCCTGTTATCAAGCAAAAGTTCATGGGTTCCACCCCTAAGAAAGAAGACAGATCACAGGAAACATGTGACCAAGCTCAACAATCAAAACAAGTGAGCTCTCTCCAACCCAGACCTTTGGAATTGGCGAAGAACATTGTTTCTGAGAGGAATGTCATTATCCTAGCTACTCCAATCCTACAGCCTTTGAGTAGAGTTCTAAATGTCAACAGCAGAACAAAGAAAAACTATGAATTCTTCAGTCCAGAGTCTAAGAACTGTTCTAAAGTAGGAGCCAAATTTCAGGTCCAAGAGACACTCGTGCCTGACTCCCTTCTGAAGAGAACCATGCAGAGTCACTTCAAACACGAGCAAGAACAACACAGGACCTATCACAGCCTGTCTGAGAGATCTCTTCGGACACACCACAGTCCTCAGAGAAAGCCTAGGAGTCCCTCTGACAGAACCCTTAGCAGCCTCTCAGTGAGGGGATGTCGCAGTCCCTCCCAGAGGAAGGATGGCAGTCCCTCTAGAAGAACCCCTCAGAGTATCTCTGACAGGAGCCCACCCAGGCTCTCTAAGGGGAGAGGTCGCAGTCCCTCAGGGAGGAGCCAACCCAGCCCTTCTGGGAGAAGGCCTCGCAGTTCCTCAGGGAGGAGCCCTCGTAGTAGTACCCCTAGTAGCCCTCGAGAGAGAAGGGGACGTAATCCCTCCCCCAAGGGTTGGCTTGGTCTTTATGGGAGGAACCAACACAGTCCCCCTTATCAGAGATGCTGCAGCCCCTCCAAAAGGAGCCATCTCAGTCCCATCCAGAGGACATGGGCCAGTCCTTCAGAATGGAGCCATAGTACTCTCTCTGAGAGACCCCCTTCCAGACGCTCTGGCAGGACAAGGCAAAGTTCTTCTGAAAGAGGCTACCGCAGTCCCTCTAGGTCCAGGCTCCACAGGCCTTCTTCCGGACTCCACCGCAGCCATTCTCAGAGAACTCACTACAGCCCCTCTGACAGCAGAAGCAGTCATTCTGAGAGGAGCCGACACTTAGAGAGGAACCAGCAAGGTCACCATGCGAGACCCCATCACAGCCCCAAGGGGAGGCTCCGGCACAGTTCCCCTAAGGAGAGACCCAGACATAGCTGGTCTAAAGAGTTCCTGCAAATCTTCACCTAGCTGCCCCTTCCTGCTCAGCCACTGCCTGCACCCTCAGCAATCAAAGAACTATCTAGGAGGGGAGTGAGAATGGGTCCGTAATTTATTTAAGATCAATAAAGGGGTAATAATTGAACTCTCTTTGCAGCCGTAATATCACTTGTGGGGTGGGTGGGACTGGATGTGCAAACGCCCGGAGCTGAAGGGTTGGGGTTCACAAGGACCCCTGAAATCTTCAGGCTTCGCCCACTTGCTCCAAGGAGGTTCTGATCCTCCTGCCTCCACCTCCCAAATGCTAAAATTATAGGCATGTGCTATAATGTCTGGCATATGTGGTGCCCGGGGATCAAAGCTGGGCGTCATGCGTGCTAGGCAAGCCCCAGCCCTCTAGAATTAAAATGGTCTTAAAAATTATTTTAGTTATTTGTGTGTATGTATTACGTGTGTGTGGATGCAGGCATGCCTGTGTTATGCTGTGCCTGTGGAGTTGATTCTGTCCATCTACTGTGGGTCCTGGGGACTGAACGCTCATCAGTAGTAGACTTCTGCAGCAAGACCTTTTAACCACTGAGACATCTTGCCGGTCCTATATTGATGGTTTTAAAAAATATTTATTTTATGTGTATGGGTATTTTGTCTGCATATATGTCTATGTTCCATGTGGTCTGTACACCACATGCATGCCTGGTGTTCCCCAAGGCTAGAAGAGGGCATTGGATCCCATGGACTGGAGTTACAGAAGACTGTAAGTTTCTAGGTGGGTCCTGGGAATTGAATCCTGGACCTCTGGTAGAGCAAGCAGTGCTCTTAACTGATGAGCCATCTCTCTAGCCCCTTAGTTAAAAAAAAAAAAAAATAGGTCAAATGTCATGGCACAGGTTTTTAACCTAAGCACTGGGGAATCTGAGTAGATCACTGAGTTTGAGGTCAACCTGGTCTACACTGTGTGTCTCCACTGTGTGATGGGCAGATTTTGAAGGACATGGCTAACATCAGTAAGGTTAGGGAAGAGGCTTTTGTACGACTGAGGTGGGAGACGCTGGCGGTCTGGACTGGTGGTCTTATGGCCAGGCAGATATCAGACTGGGAATACGTGTGAAGACTAAGACCTGGGCTGGGATGTAGCCCAGCTGGTAGAGCACTCTAGTGTTCGCTAAGCTCTGGGTTCATCTCCACCACTGAATAAACTGGCGAGGCAGTGCAAGCCTGCAATCTCAGCACTGAGAGGAAGTGGCAGGAGGATCAGAACAAGGTCACCCTTGGCTATATATGAAATTTGAGGCCAGCCTGGGCTACACAAGACTTTGCTTAAAAACAAAATCTGAAAAAAACAAGACAAAAACAAAATTGTGGCTGGAAGGATGGTTTAGCAGTTAAGAGCATTTGTTGCTCTTGTAGAGGACCTGAGTTTGGTTCCCAGCACATACAAGGTGGCTCACAACCACCTGTAACTCCAGTTTCAGGGGATCTGATACCCTCTTCGGACCTCCATACATGGGTACCTATGTAAGCAAAACAGTCATATACGTAAAAATAAAATATACCTTAAAAGGTAAAAAGTAGACAGACAGAGAGTAGATAGATAGATAGACAGACAGACACACAGGCAGACGAGATAGAGTCCTGAGAACTTGCGGACAGCTTACATGGGGTAAAGGGAGGTGGGGTATATATGAAAAAGCTCAAGCTGCTTCCCAGAAACAGCTGACATTACTAAGCCCTTACATCTAAGCCTTTTGCAGATTTTCTTGTTCTTCACCACCAATACCATCGCCACTCTCCTTTATAATACTATGTGGTAAATACTGTCATCAGTGCCCCCATTTTATATGAAGAAAACCAAATCCCAGGGTTGGAAAGGGTGAATGACCTAAGTTTATACAAGATGAAAAGTTGAACCAATGTTTGAACTCAAGGAATTTGAGGTCGCAAATGTGTTCATTACCTCTGTGCCACACCCAGGAAAGACACAGAGGTATGTTAAAAAGACTTGGGCAGGCTGCAGAGATGGCTTAGTGGTTAAGAGTGTGTACTGCTCTTGCAGAGGACCTGAGTTCAATTCCCAGTATCTACATATGAAGGCTCATAACCGCCTGAAGCTCTAGCTCCAGGGGATCCTACACCTCTGGCCTCTGCAGGGACCATCATTCATGTGGACATACCCACACATGGACCCTCACATAGACACATTGTGGCAGTGTGGATGGGACTGCCTCCCACTGGCTCAGATGTCTGAAGACTTGGTCCCCAGGAGGTGGAACTGTTTGGGAAGGATTGGGAAGTATGGCCTTGTTGGAGGAGGTTTGTCACTGCAGGTGAGGCTTTGCTGTTTCAAAAGTTTTCTGCCATCTCCAGTGCTGTCTGTTTGCTGGTTCCACGATGTGAGCTCTCAGCTGTCCAGGCCACTGTGCTCGCACTGCTCCTATCATGGAACTGTAAGGTCATTTTGTGCGGCTTTTATAGGCTGCCTTGGTCACGGTGTTTTGCCACAGTAATCGAAAAGTGACTAAAACACACCCAGTTCAAAGTAACTAAATTTTAAAAATGTAAAAACTTTAAATATATAATCAGTAATAATACAAACAAGAAACAACCACTTAAAGGAGAACCTTGCAAAGGAGAAGCTAAAACATTAGGACATACTCAGAGCTAGAGGGACAGCTCTGCAGTCAGGAGTGTGTACTGCTCTTGTAGAGACTGGAGTCTGGTTCCAGCACCTTTACCAAGGCGGCTCACAACCGCCTTGAACTCCAGCTCCAGGAGGTTCAAAACTCTCTTCTGACCTTGGCAGGCACTGGCACTCACATGCACAAACCCACACATCAACATTCTTATTCACAGAATTTAAAACTATTTTTATTTTTTTTTTATTTTTATTTTTTGGTTTTTCGAGACAGGGTTGATCTAGAGTAGGAAGGTGTTTGGAGTAAGTGCACCAGGAAGGGCTCATGTTGGGGTGTGTGGGAAGCAGTGCTCACACACAGGACAGAAGCAGCCCACAGGCCTCCTAGTGGCCAGCATTCAGTTCCACAGCTCTTACCTCTCAGCAGTGCGGAGCTGCCTTGCCTCCAGGGCCAATTTGCTCAAGGTTTTCCACGTTGCCTCTGTTTCTGGGGTCATCTCCAGGGTCTCCAAGAAGGCTGTTGCCCTGGAGAGGAAGGGAAGAAATCACAGGAGTGAAGCAGGATCTGGAGGAGCAGAGGGGAACCCTGGTGCTGCTGGGGCAGCAGGAGGGGGGGGGGGGGGAAGAAAGGCCAGAAACACCGCCCTTTGTCTAGGCCCCTCCCATGACTCCAGGGCCCCATTGATCTGTGACAGTTTAATGGGTCACTGCAGGCATCTGCTAGGCCCACTCTGGCTCAGCACCACACTGGCTGTTAGCAGCTCTCACCGGGTGTAGTTGCCATCATCGATGACTGTTCCAAACTCAATCAGGCCCTCGTCCAGGGTGTAGACCACAGTCATCACCCCTTCGGTCACCATCACCTCTGTCTTCCCTCCACCTCGCTCCAGACCTACAACGTCACCCTGCACAGTATACAAAGAGTGGCATCCAGTTCTTCAGTAGGAAACAGACTTAGGGGTGTGTGTGCACGCACAGACTGTGGGTGCGTGTGTGACTGCACTTGTCCACGTGAGCAGGCCAGGAGACACGCTCGGGTGTCACTCCTCAGCTGCTTCCACCCTTTCTTTCTTCAACCAGGATCTCAGCTTGGCCCTGGAATTTACCAAGTAAGCTGGGTTGAGCCCTAGGGGTCTGCCTGTCTCTGCCTCTCCAGCTCTGGGATTTAAGTGTGCACTAACACGCTTCACTTTCTTGCTGTATGTTCTGGGGCTCAAACTCAGGCCCCTCTACTTGAACAGCAAGCACTTTACCAAATGAGTTATCTTCTCAACTCTTAGACTGATATTCTTTTTAAAGTATATGATTTTGTCAGGCAGTGGTAGTACACACCTTTAACCCCAGCACTCAGGAGGCAGAGGCAGGTGGATCTCTGTGAGTCTGAGGACAGCCTGGTCTACAGAGTGAGTTCCAGGACAGCCAGGGCTGCACAGAGAAACCCTGTAATATATATCTATATAATTACTTTTTCACGTTTATTTATTTAGCATGTGTGTGTCCATCCATGTGGGCTCTGAAGACTGAACTCAGGTCATCAGGCTTAGCAGCAAGCACCCTTATCCATGGAACCATTTCCCCAGGCCCCAGACTGAGATAGTCTTGGGGGTCCTCCAGTTAAATTACAACTTAAACCTGAACCCAGAACATACTTTTTCTTTTCCGGCACTGCTTAGTTCACGTGACAAAATCACTAAGAATGTTCCCCACCTCTATGTTACCCATCCCCCTTTAAAAAATAAAAAAAAAACAACCAAAACAAAACAAATGAGTAAAATGACATTTTTTAGCGGGGTGGTGGTGGCCAATGCCTTTAATCCCAGCACTTGGGAGGCAAAGGCAGTGAACTCTGAGTTCAAGGCCAGCCTGGGCTACTAGAGCTAGTTTCAGGACAGGCTCCAAAGCTACAGAGAAACCCTGTCTCAAAAAACCAAAAATAATAATAATAATAATAATAAATAAACAATAAAAAAGAGAAAAGACAGAAGGGCAAAGGCCAAAAGCTAAAATCTGAGCAGCAGGAAAGGGGGTGCTGCTCTGAAGGCAAATGCATGTATCCGACAATGAGCCTCAGGCCTTCAGCACGTGGATGGGCTGAGTCAGTCTCTGAGTAAACCCAGCCTAGCCCGTTCTGTAGCAAAGGGCACCAAAGCAAGCGGAGCACAGCCTTACCATGGATTCTGATTGCTACAGAAGCAAACAACCATCTCAGCAGGAAAACAAGTAGAGACTGCCTTCAGAGTAACATGTGGGTGTATGTGTGCAAGCACACGCACATACAACACAACCAGTACGAAAGAATAAATTGTAATTGTAAACAATAATTTTAGGTCTTTAAGCATTTTAGATATTAAAAATGGCAGTTATAGATAATGCATTGTAATAAAATTAAATATTACATATTTGAAGATATAAAAATGACATGGAAAATTAACTAAGGAAAAACTGGAATGGCTGGGCATACTGGAAAAAGAAATAAAATTTTATGGAAGTGAAGCCTGAGACATTGAACATGG